ACTTCAAAAGTACTTGCAATTAACATAGGAAAAAGTAAAAATTCACTTCTGGAAAGATAATGAGATACTTTGCATTAAAATATGCATTGATCATGGTTAACATCGTGTGCTTTAAGAAGTTAAGAAATTAGAAAGCTAAGATTTGCACAAACTTGCTCCTGTTATACAGGATTAAATTTTATTAAGGAGTGGAAGAGTTGGGACTACTTTGGTTATTATTGTAGTTTTTTCCTAAGCATTTTCAGTGCACACCACACTTGCTTCCATGAGCACAGCTTCCAAGCTTACTAAGAAACAAACATGAAGTATTTATTTAAACATTCCTGAACATTTTTGAGAGTCATCAAGTTTAATGAGAAGGTACAGAGCTCCATTGTCTCTACAAGATAATAATTGTCTTCGGTGGAATGAAATGGGTGTTAAGAAGTCATATAAAAATGAAATAACAGGAGGAATCTTGCTAATTAGAATAGGTGAAGTTTACCAATATCCATTTATTTAGTAGAATTAAGCAGTCTTTTCTTCTCTTTGGATTAGTTAATAGTCCCATGTTTATGATACTCCAAATCTTTTTCATTGTGGTTTATTTAATTTCTTCTATTAACCTTCTGAACTTTGCTGTACAGGTAAGGGGTATGGAGCTGTAATGTAATGTCTGCTGCTTATGCTATATGTTAAGCTGTGGCACTGTATTTAGATGATACACTCTTTTCTTCTCAGTGCTACAGGGAAAGACTTTGATCTTCCAGGAATTGTTTTCTGTCAGTAGTTAAGTGCCTTTTGTGTCTGGGTATTCGCTTTTATTTGAGTACACTTAGTCAGAAATAAAACTATGAACAAATTACTGGAATTTAATCTTTGCAGATGTGGTTTCCTTCTCAATCCTTTGAATATTGTTCTAAAACCATCTGGTACACTTAAATTCACATTTATGTGGATGCTTTAGAATGAGTATTTTCTGTTAAGGCTATCTCTGAAGCAGACAGTCTTCTTGAAGATGATCTTGTAACTCCTTGCATTGCACCATTGACTCTTTGGAGCGTACACCCTAAGGCTCATGCTGATGATTTTAACTCCTATTGCTATTGATTTCAGAAATCCAGTGAAACTGCACAATACATTTTTTTCCTGTTTCCATCTATTACAATATCCATGTTTGTAAACAAACCTTCATGATGCAGCAGATTTTTTTCCTGAGAGTCTCTTCTGTTCAGAAGTCTGAATCAAAACCAGCTTGTCATATTGACTAAGAGATAAATTTGATGTTGCCTGGTCCATCTCCTTATACAGACACATTTTGACACAGTGTATTTGAGTGCTAATAATGACATTAGAAGATGTTGGAAAGAGATCTAATTTGGCATGCAGGAGTGACTTTGCTGTCATCTCCTATTTTCTGCACAATTGACAGCAGATACTTGGGGCTGAATTTTTCTTTCAGGTCAGATTTCCAAGGCATGAGGCTGTCTGTTAGAAACAGATAAGACCAAAACCAATACGGAAGTACTTGTTGGAAGTGTCAGCAGTGCTGAGGATTTAAAAAGAGTGCTTCAGTTTTCTGTTTATGACATGACACAACAACACATATTTCACTAGCAATAAAATCCAACCAACAACCCCATGCCAGTTCTTAAAATTTCTCACTGGGAAAATTTTGTATTAGTAGTCTTATCTGGGAAGAACAAAATTTTTTTTCAACCAATATATCTATTTTGTCACACTCCCTAGCTAGTATTGTTAAATTATTTTCCAAGAAATCAAAGTAGGTGTAAATGCCCTCATGATCCAAAATGCTTTCAAGTTTTCACTGTCAGACAAATAAAATTTATATCTGTACTTAATTTTTAGTGTGCAAGACACTGAAAAAACAGTGTCTTGCAGTGCATGAAAACATTATCTGAGGTAAGACCAAAACAATATGCTTTCAAATATTTCCATACATGTTTCATACGCTGTTGTTTCTCAAACAGCCCATTTCATATCCCACCTCTTCCCTTTAGCAAAAACAAGTGGGCTACTTCTACGTTCCTGTTGGTGAATGTTACTGTCTAAAACTTCCCTCAAAGAGCACCAGTGAAGAACAGCTCCTACCCAGTCTGCAATCTGAAGAGTGACCAGTTCTGCAGTGGGCCAGGTGCTGTGGATGTCAGTTCAGCCTCTTAGTTGGGGAATTTGTTGTATGAAAGTGGATTTCTGCTCTCTGGAGAAATACTCTTCTTTGAATTCCCCTGTCCTGACTGATTGCTGTAATTAATTTTAATAGTTTATTATCAATCTCAATTCTTCATTAAAAGTGGTAATGAAAATACTCAAAAGGAATTCTGAAAGTTTTGGGGTGAAATAGTGTTTTCACCACATTTGCTAGGGTATTCCCAAAATCAAAGAGAATATATGTATATATACACACACATATATATATTTTTTTTTCATCAGACTTGGGAAGAGAGAACTATAGTTTAATCTAGTGAACAGTTTTGCTTCTCAGTTCTTTGTCTGCCAGATCAGGCTTTGAAAAATAGCAAAACTATTTTGAGATTTTTAATAAACAATCCAGGAAATTGGAAGTTTTCATTTTGACAGTTTCAAGATGAAGTGTTTTAACTTTAATATCAAAAATAATTTTTCATCTTTAAGAATCTTTTTAAAAGAGGCAGAAAGCAATTTCATGTGGAGATGACTGATCTTGATCATGGGTGATGTCATGTCCCGTTGGATTAACAGTGCAGGGAAAGTAGCTTGGCTGCCACTGAAGATACATTTGTTCTGTAAAAAGTAGAAATTTTCTTCTTTGGGGTTGTAATGAAATGTGTTTCATAATTATCTAAGAGTAGAAAGGAAATAAAAGGAAAAATTTTCTATGGAGTTACCTGGATTATCTGTTCTGCAAGCTGCTTGAGCACATAAGGAGTGGAGCATCTTCCCCAGCAGGAAGGAGGATACTTGCCCCTCTGTGCTGGTCAGTAGACCTCAGCCTCAGATTAGAGTAAAGCTGATTGATGATGGTTTTTAAATGAGACCTGAAGCTGAATTATGCATAATATGGTTATTTTTTGTCCAACTCTAGGTAACAGTGTTCTGAGTTTTCTTTCCAAAAAAGGCATTTTTGTAATGAATTGTGAACAAGTAACACTATGGGTAGTGGTCGATGTATATCGAGCTACAAGACCAAATTCCTATATGAATATCTAGTGAAATAAAAAATAGACAGAAAATATAAATTTATCCTTTAGTGGTAAAGGATATGGGCATTATGGGAACACTGACATATGTTTTTTACTAAGCCAATATTTTGAACTGATAAGTGATTATCATCTACTAAAATGGCACCAATAGAACAAAGACCAAAAAGCTAATGCCACAATGAGATATCATCTTACAACCCTGTAAATTTTAATTCCCTATGTTATTAGGGAAGATAGCATGAGCATGTTAAATATTGTCTCATTTCATGATAGGGAATTAAAATAGTTTAGAAATAATTTTCCCATAAACACGGAGTATGTGATCAGCTTACTCCAAGAATAGCTAAAACGAAGTAAGGCGAAGGGCGTAAGGCAAAGATGAGATATAAATTGCCTGAATTATTATTTTAGTTTATTTTTGTTTGTAATAAAACTTAATTTCTTTTCCAAATGTATATTTACAGGCTTTTTTTGCTACTGTTACCTTGCCTGTAATAATTTTTACACCGTGCTGTATAAGGCAAGTACTACCATAGGCAGCGGTTAGACTTGCAGTAAAAATAAAATACTGTACCTATTCACAGGGCTGTGGTGAGCTGAAGCCACACCTATGTGTGCTCTGCTGGTCTCAGTCAAGCTCCCAGTCTCCAGGAAGAGCAGCCTGCTCCAAATCCTCATTATTCAACATGCTGAACAACATCCTGTGAATTGCCCGGGTTGCCCAAGGGGCTTGTGCTGTGACTGTGGCTGCCCTGGTGCCGCACAGCCTGTGTTCCTCCAGCACCTGGCACAGGTGGGAGCCAGGGGCTCAGCGCTGCCCTGCCCCTTGTGCTGTGGCTGGGCCCTGCCCTGGTGCTGCACAGCCTGTGTGCCTCCAGCACCTAGCACGGGTGGGAGCCAGGGGCTCAGCGCTGCCCTGCCCTGCGGAACTGAAATCCTGCCCGTGTTCTGCGAGAGTGGACGGCCCCGGATGCTTCCCCTCTTCTCTCTCTTCCCTCTCTTTCCTTTCTGCACATTGCATGCTCCCGTCTGGGGAATGCTGGGGAGGTTTGGAGGGTCTAGGTACTACTTTTGTGGAGATATGTTGAAAAGTTGTATAGATAGAAATGTAATATTACCAAGTAATATCTGAGCAATGCAAACCTGTATTGCTTGGGTATTACTTGGTAACCTTTGAAAGTTTCGATGGGAACTTACTGCTGGTCTTTGTATTTTGATGCCTAGATACTTGTTATGTGGATGCCCTAAACTTTCTGTCTATAATAAGACTATTAATTCTTTTGATATTTTGCTTTTTACAAGACTATTATGACTTGAACTGCTTTTCTTATGACTCGTGAGAATGGCAATTGGTAACCCACTAATATTTCTGCCCACAAGGGTTTGTAATTTCAGAAGTAATCACTTCGTGGCTGATGTAAATTTTGTAATGAGAAATACTAGATTTATGACTGCAGGATTTCTCACAGACTGTTTTATTGCTTAGAGGAATTGCTTTCTCTGTTGGGAAAATCCATCATTAGATGTCTGCCTCAAATGTTTTGTGGGCGGTTTATGCTTTGAGAATGCTAATGCAATCATTGAAACAATCATGATGATTTGAGATAGTATAATTGTTCCCCTTCCTTCACTCCAGACACAGAATGAGCTGCAAGTGAAGCTAGGTGTGGGTTAGTAAGGGGACCTTACCCGCCAGCATGTGAGTAATTGCAATATCTGGTCATTGGGTTCTTGCCCCACCTTTTATGTTCAGTGCACTTTCCTGAAATAGGTTTCTGATTTCTGTACATACTAGCTGAGATGGAAGAATGCAGGATTAGTCACAGTGATGATGACAACTGATTTGGAAGAAGGTCTTTGCTGATGCATTTTTGCACTGAACCTCTCTAGGTAAAAGTACTGCTTGCCTGTAGGATGGATATCCTTGGGCAAAATGTTGGAGGGAGTAAGTCTTTGCAGTTCCTAATGAAGCTCAGGCCTCAAAGATGGGCATTTCCCAACTTGCTGGAATTGGGATGTTTCTGGACATGCCTTCTGGATGAGAAAATTTTGGGACCTCCTAAGCTTTTGTGATAAAAACCTTGGCATTCCCAAGGTTAGTTGATGTAGGCTGTGAGGATTAAAGTTCTGTTTTGAAATACAAAATATGAGTATCTAAGACTGAAATCTGTGGTGGACCTGTGGCCAAGGTTTGCTGTAGGCAACTTCTAAGCTTTCTGTTAAAATTTAATATAGTTTTGCCAGCTCTATGCCAGTAGAACATCTCTGCAGAGAAACTGCTTCCGTCAGCAAGGTCTTTCCTTCATGGATTGGTGTCTATAAAAAGAAATAGAAAAGAGTGGGAATGATCTTAGAAACATCATGCACCACCATGTAACCTCTCAAATATATATATATATTTATATATATATTTCTCAAATCTATTTTTCTGTATGTGCTTTAGCAATGCTAAAGGCATCTATTTCCTGGAGTGTGGACAGCAGGGTAGAGAAGAAGGTGGGAACCTATCTTTGAGTCACTATTCCCTTTGCATCCTGCTGTATCTCGTTTTGCCCCAATGCCTGCTTTTACGGACCCAACTGAAGCCCTTCACTGCTTCTATGAAGCTGCATTGTTGCATGGATTAGCATTTCTTTTCATTTCTGCTTTCTGTGTGCAATAGGTGTATTCTGGGTGGAAACATGTGCTACTGGAGAATCACCTGTGATGTATTGGAGTTTCAATTCTTTGTCTGATTTAGCATATTTTTGCTTTTTAATGTAATTCATTTCTGCACTGCTGATCTTATTCTGTATTGAAACAGCACATTTGTGCATGATTCAAGTTCATTTCTGGAAACCAGTTTCAATAACTTTCATTTATTTAAACTATTAAAATAGTTTAAAGTACAGAGAACAGTACCACTCGCTTTCTATTTAAATTGCAGCTCTAACCGTTGAAATAGCCTTGAAATAAAGTATCTTGGGTTCTGCTTGACCTGATTCAATATAACACTTAAAAAGTAGAAGTACTGAAAAGATAGTCAGATGCATTCCCTATTTGGCTCAGGCTATTGAAATGGCAAGGGTATGAGTTTGCCATAGCTATTAATATGATATTAATCCAGGGTATATTATATATTGCTTTAAAGTCTTATCGGGAGGACTGGATATCCTTTTGTAATGTGTTCTTTTGCTTTTTCTATACACTGATATTTTGTAGATGAGCCATTGCTCAATAAGTGAAGTATAAATGGCTCTTCTTATATGATCAAGTATGATGTTATTGAATGCCTTACAAAGAGGCTGTATCCTCTGCACATTAAGATTGAGTCTGGTGCTTATTACAAAATCCAGACTTTTCAGATGCTAAATACATGCTCTATCTTACAAGCTAAAAATGGTAGACTCCTGACAGTTTTGGGATGTTGAGGCTAAATGACTCTCTTATGTCCATCTTTCTTTCTTTTGTCCTTCTGGTTTCAGTTTAGGCCCTAGTTCTTAGCAGTATGAAATATCTCTGTGGATCCAGATGGCTAGAAAGTAGCAATGCCATTACAGTCTCCAATTTTCTGAATCAGGGCATTTGTTATTTTGACTTTTCCTATAGAATATCACTGTAAAAATATTAGTTTTTGACATGGTGATAGCTTATTTTGTGTATTTGATTTGCTGTAGAAACTTTCATTGGTTATTTTTAGGCTGTTGGAGATGTTTACTATAGCTTCACACTACTCAAGATTGCTTCTACCTTTGTTTTTTGTAGGTGGGTTTTCAGATGCTCCAAGGAAAGTTTTAAAATCATCTATATGTACAATTGTTTCTGGGATATCTCCTTTATTCCATGTAAGTAAATAGTTCAAGAATTTCTTGGTTTGTTTCTCATCTTCTGTTGAGAATCTCGTAAGAAAACTGCATGAAAACCAAAAAAATTTAAACTCTCTTGTCTGCTTTTATGAGTAGTCTGTCTCTGTCTGTACTCTAATTTTTTATAATTTATTTTTATAAGAAGTTGTTCTGCACCTGGTTTATCAATTTGTTGGCAGTGCATTGATAAGAACTTTATTTCCATGGCTTCTTCTCTCTGAGATAATTAAAAGTTCCACTCCTGTGTTCCTGCACTCAGTTCATTCAGCTCAGCACAGTGGCTGCAGAGGCACAATTTACTCCTTCACCCTGTCCAGTGTTCAGCTTCCCATGTATCAAGATTAATAATAATATTCAGAGAGCACATACATAGAGGGAGGGAGGTATTGATTGCCATTAAAATGTTGGGTCTTGTGTTAAGGAATCTGGTTTTGCTCCTTACCATCACATCACCTAATTGAATGTGAGTGGATAAAATTATTTCTAGGCTACATCTGGTGCATGATGGTGCACCAGTGCCCTTACTTGTTTAAATATATGAGCCTTTTGAAATAGGGAACACTAAAAATATTAGTGGAGTGACAAAAAAAAATGATATTATTTTGGAAGGAATGCAGATACCCTTTAAAAAAGAGAAGGAAAAAGCTAATAAGCATGGGTAGTGGTACTGTTTCATAAAGGATTCATAAAAGAGGTCATGAAAAGTAAATCTGCTTTGATTAAAAAAAAAAAGTTTAAGGTATGTAAAGTGAGATGTATGCAGATTAGATTGTTCCTGAAAGAGATTATTAAATACAAGTGTCACTTGGTTTTATTTGGTTAGGTTAGTCACAAAATTGACTGCATAGCTATCTATGGAACTTGCTGAAAAAGCAGGAGAACTCCATAAACCTTTCCCTAGGCCGCTCATTTTCCACAAATTTTGTAGTTTCTGCGCGTGTGAGGAAAAATATTCTTTTGATCTACATCTTAATTCATGCACTAATAATTCCAGAACAAAGATGAAAAACATATTTGAATCTGAATTGGAGAAAAATAGTTCTATTGTAATGTAAGAAAACTTGGTGGAACTACCACTAAGAGGAGCATAAACAATGTGCAGCAAATGTAGTTTAATACAAAAATAAATAAATAAAAACAATATTATGTACCTTTCAGGTTTGGGTTGAAGCCTTTTCTGTGAATTGCAAATTATGTTTCAGTGATTGTTAATAATGCAAGTTTGTTATTGGTACATTAGTGCATATTTAATTGCATCCATACAAGTAGGAAACAGGTACAGAGGTGTCAGAACTGACAAACACAGAATTGAAGCTGTGTTGTGAAATGAAATAAAGCTTGAATTCAGCCTACAAGTTAAATTGTTTTTGCAAAAGTCAGCAAAACATGAGCTTATTTCGGATAAACTGAACCTTATGTTGACTGAGTCCTTTTTCAAAATTATTTTGAAATAATTGCACTGCAAAACCTTCTCCTTTCTGCAAAAGGTGTTAATAAATATGCACCCAAATGTCAACCAAATTTAAGATATGTTAGGGAGAAAAAAGTAGTCCAATTTTTAGTAACAGTAATTTGAAGACCCTTCTCCCTGCTATGGTCTTTGTATCCCTTGTTAGCACATGCAGATTCCAGCTCTTCCTTGTACAGACAGCAGCTAAGGCCACTCCATTGCACTTACACATTTCCTTTTTTAAAGATTAGCATGTAAAAGGTGGGCAGAAACACATCACAACGTTAAATCTGCATGTGTTGTCTTATTTTGAAACTGGTGGAAAATTGAAAAAAAAGATCCCAAACCAACACAAATCTAAGAAAATGAAACCACCCACTTGGATGACTCCTTTGCTCTCCATCTCCGAAGAGAGGATTTCAGCCATGTGCCAGTGGATGTGTGAGTGTTTCAGAGCAGACCTGGAGAATGAAAATCAGATCTCTTTGTCTAAGCCAGGTTGTCCTTTCTTCTTTTGAAATGGACCTGCATATACCTCATAGTTAGGATACTGCCAGTAATTGTTACAGGGTAAAATGCTTATTAGTTTTCCTATCAACCACATCTCTCTTTGCCAGTACTCACTTGGACAAGGTGAATTCTCTTTTCTTCATTAATTACGCAGGTGATCAGTGAGAGAGCAGAGTTGTGTGGAGGTGGAGAGAAGCGGGGGAAGTTGTGGAACACGAATTCACAAGTTTGGCCTGAAAAAGATACGTGTCTTGATACACAGCTGACAATGTTTCTTGTCCCATTTGCAGTTTGGACAAATTTGTCTCCTTTGCCATGCTATCTACAGTCTTGAGGAGGAGGCTGGACAGCAGACATCTTTAACATCATAGGCATATTTCTCAAAGGCAGCAGTTGAAATGAAATGATCTGACACTGAATATGTTTAAGGCTAAATTGTGCATATTTATCCTTAGTTGAAAAGGATCATTAGATTATGCCTATGCTCATATGAAATCAATAGTAACATGTGCAATGAGCCTGTCCTCTCTTTTATGGCATTACAGACTGGAGTATTTTACACAGAAATAGGGCAAGATGTGAAACAGAGTGCATACTGCTTTGGGCTGGGAGACATGGACCATAAATCAGGATATGTGTGCATAATTACAAGGTATCAGAACAAGTCTCAAGGGTATTTTTAGCACTATAAAATGTTGGATAGACTTGTTCTCCTACAGAACATTATCCTTCTCATTTCTTCACTCCTAGGTACCAAACAGTTTTGTTGGCCAGGTTACTTGAAATGGTAGCAGTGTGATAAATGGCAGCTGCAAGAGTATATTGTGTTTAATTGCACAATCAGAGTTTAAAACTTCTTCTGATTACATTGTGCAAAGGCTCTGAACTGATTTTCTGAAAATGTCTCCAGGGTTAAACACTTTCTTAACTAACATTTGGATGTGAAAACCAAAGGCTTGATTTTTTTTCTGCTGATGTGCAATATTTTGGGAAGACAGAATCACAGAACCATTAGGATGGAGAAGTCCTCTATGGTCTGACTATTAACCCAACACTGCCAAGACCACCACTAAACCATGTCCCTGAGTGATTATCTACACAGCTTTTAAATCCCTCCAGGGATAGTGACACATCTGCTTCCTTCGGCAGCCTGTTCCAGTGCTTGGCAACCCTTTCAGTGAAGAACTTTTCCCTAATAACCAGTCTGAACCTCACCTGATGCAAATTGAGGCATTTCCTCTCATGCTACTGCTTCTTTTCCAGGACTGGCCCCACCTTGCTGCAGCCTCTTTTCAGGCCGTTTTAGAGAGTAAGGTCTTCCTCGGCCTCCTTTTCTCCTGACTAAGCGGCCTCAGCTCCCTCTGCTGTAAATTCTTGGCTGCCACTTCAGGATCTACTTGAAAGCCATCAACGAATACCTGGTGCTCAGAATCTCTGAGTGACACTGACTTTTTCATGCAGGCAGTGTCTTGGGCAAAATTCTCATTTCGATGCATGTGAAATGACAGCAACAAAAAAAATAAGGGAGGAGTGAGATGAATTAGAAATGTCCCCTCTACTTGTATTGTCCACTTGAACTGCCATTTTCTGAGGTGACAGGAGGGAGGAGAGTAGAAAACAAACCATCTCTAAAATTAAGAAGTGTGAGAAGCGCCTCAGTGGTAAGAAAAGCTGTGCTTTTTTCTTTTTCAGGTAATGGAAGCTTCTGTGCAGCCTGAGAGTGTGTATTCCCCATTGCAGCAGAGTTCACACTTAGGAGTTTAGTTAGAACTGTTATGTGATTATTTTGCCTAAGATCAGATTTTAACCCTGCAGTTTAGTTAGAATTGAGGCTTAGATTCAAACAGAAGGGGGGTTATGTTTTTTTTCTGCATTACCTGGCACTAAATCTCAAACTCTGCTCCCAATGTAATGAATCCAGATTCAGTTCTCCCTAGTTGTTCAGCTGTGTTTAAGTCCTATGCCATCCCCTGTACTCTCCTACATTTGCACAAAGTCAAAGCAGGATTCTTATAAGGCCTTAAAAAGCCGTTATCCCATGTAATTTTCATGAGTGACTAACAAGATTGGTTGAGCTGTCCCTAGTGTCATTGCTGTCTCGGTGTAAAAAGAAGCACCTTGGGTGGCAGGATGTTTTCAAATGGGTGCAGCAGGTGCAGTGCTAAGACAGGATGGAAGAACAGAGCTACCAAGCTGTCTACTTTTTCCTTGAGGAAGATAGAGAGACATCTGGGATAATGGGTATGAGAGATCTTATCCATTTTGTGGAAGTGGATCTGGAAGAAAAAAATTCTGCTGTGCTTTTGCCATGAAACTCTCCACTGCTGCTGTAACACCTGTAATCTTCTCAGTGAGTTTCTGAAGATGAATAACTTGCCATCCCTTTCTTAAATGCTTATTTTTCTGAAAGTGAAGATAGAAATGTCTTTTAATGTGCTTCGAAGATTCAAAAGGAAAGACCTCTGCACTGATCTAATTCTCTGAAAGCCCCTTATTGTGATATACTACTAGCTTTTGTGGAGCAAGTAGCTGTCATTTAACTTGATTCAGGTAATTTACTCATATCAATTAATTGGGTAATGAGCCATAGACAGGCTTTCGGTATCTGAAAACTACTATCTTCCTTTTGCCATTCCCTGCAGGAGAAAATAGAATATAAAATTTCCCCAAATATTCAAAAACCATATTTTTATTTTAATAAAATTGCCACAATGTTATTTGTCTTTGATGTTCAATATTATCTTCAAATCAATTTTGACATTCTTCTTTCCTTATTTGTGCTGCATTAGCATGTTCTCATGTCTTAAAATGGTGGGATCACTTATGATGCCTGAGCATTTGCACCTATTGCTTAAATTGTGTAGCTTGTACTAGTAGTTGTGTAGGTGATAGGTAGTAGATAATTTCAAACTAGATTGATAATCATATACCTCATTTGATGTGTTTTAATTCCTTGATCCAATAGATTAAAAAAAATCAAAGTTACGGCTAAGGATGGCTTGGTGATTTTTTTTTTTTTGTAGCTTGGTAAAGTATTTGTAACATGGCTTAAAATATTTTGAGATTACATGTTCTAAAAGCAGACCTTATCCAGCACTTAAAAATAAATGCAAAGAAAATACTTTGCAAAGGTATTAAACATTTAACAGCCTTAAAAATATTTTTTTAATAACCTTACAGAATGGGCTTTTAGATTAACTTCTGTGTAGTGGTAATGTTTCTCAGATTTTCACATATACTGATAATAACATCAAAACACCTTTAAAGTTCACCTTATGAAGCAATTGGGGAACTTTTTATTACTTCTGGTACTTGTAGTTTTATTATTGGTTAGAATTATTGCTATTTGACTTACACTTACCTTTTCTTTATGCTTCCACCTAGGTAAATCAGTCTATTTAGTCACAGTAAACTACTGATTTTTAACAGGATAGAGCTTTCAGCAGCAGTCCAGGATCTCTGGGTTTTTCACACTCTGGATGGACTTCCAGGGTGACTGGAGTTCAAGTCCTTTGCATCTTAGAGACACCTCTTCTGTGAGCAGGTGATGTCAAAATGTATGAGTCATTTTATATGCTGTTATTAATTTCTGTGAGTTTGAAATGTCACACTTGCTATGCAGAAGTGCTGGATCTGTAACTTTTGTGTTTGTTCTCATGACAGATCTCGTTTTAATGTACGGTTCAAATGTAGGCCTGGAGCAAATAAGCACACATCTAAAAAAGGTGAGATTTTTTTCCCCATATTTGTATTCTTATTTATTTCAAACCATGTAAATTGTATGTGTTTCTATCAGGAAGAGCGTAGTGATGAGAAATTTATATTAGCCCTGAGCTAGACCTTGACTATTAAGGGTGAATCTTTTAAGGTTTTAATATGCATTAATATGTGTTTTCCAACAATTAGTTGAAACTCTAAGAGTGCATTTAGTGCTGGCCTGGAGCATGTTCCTGAGGGCTCATTATCCTGTCAAGGCCTGTAAGATGTGGACCCTGCAGGAGTGATGTTGGTACTTAGTGAGTTAATATGGAGTTCGATTTTTTTTTTTTTTTTTTGCATGGTCATTGGAGGGAAAGGCTACAGCAGATACAGATGGAGATGAAAATGCACGACCCTGGTTCTAAATTTATTTTGGGAAAATTGGATTTGTTGCTCTTCAGCTTTCCTTCTGAAAACTCTCTTGTGGCTTTATTGTCAGCTGAAGTGTTTATTGACTGACAAGTGCTTGCATTTTAGTGGTGGATACAGTGATCCTAGTAAACACTTTGGGGCTTTCGTGATGCAATATGCTGTGTAAGTGTTTGTGTTGTTTTATGATGGAGTGGGCAGAAGATTATTTAAATAAAAAGTAGAATAAAACCCACGCAGTTTCAGCAGCCATTAGTTTCATTAAAGCTAGTACAAAGATAAGAGTTAAATGATTTGTGGATATATACAAATGTCTTAAAGTATAAAAGCAACAAGAATCCAATGCCATTATTGCTGGGAGAAGTGCCAGCATTCTCATTATTTTTAATGACTTCCAAACTGGGCCCTTAGTGACTGATGAGGTAAGCAATCTCAGATGGGAAATGTGATATACTCAGTACTGGAACGTGCTGAATGCCCTCAGTTGTTAGGGGCCATGGCTGTGCTGAGGGTACTGTAAGAAGCAGCAGACAAATTGTAGGTTGCAGGTTACTTTAGACAGAGGAAATTTTTTCTAGGTTGCTGAATAAAATAGAACAATCTAGATGATAAAAATTGTAGGTAATGGCACTGCTCATGAAAAAACATTAATCACTGAAGAAAGGTAGATACTAAAGAAAGCAATCTTTGGGTTCATCCCAATATTAAAAAAAAAAAGGCACCAAACAAAACCTTCAGTAACTGTTTCTGTTTATTGAAAAAGATAAGCATCTTATGAAGATATGGAGGTTGTTAATAATGAAGTGACTGCTGTGAGAGGCACTTACCTCAGGACCAGGTGGCCTGCAGTTCCCATGTGCCCAATGTCCCCCTTCTGCACTGCTGGATGAGCTGGAGAGCTGTGCCCCTCGGAAATCCCACCAGCACTCTGCTTGTCTCCTGGCAGGGACACAGTGCTTTGGTGTCTCCTCCTGGGTAGGAGGGAGTTGGCAGAAGGAGCTTCTCCAAGAGGGCAGGATCCCAGCTGGGAACACCCCTGACTGCCCATGGGGCTGCCTGGGCGTTAAGCAAGACATGTCAGTCAGGAGTGCTGAACAGTAAATTAGGAACACCACAAATCCTGGAAGTGTTTTAATGGTAAAAAAGGGACTTCTGCAGAACCTGGGCACATCTTTTCAGCATGTAGAACAGGAGGCTGGGCAGCCCCTTGTCCCTGTCTGCCCCAGGCAGAGAGCCCAAGTCACCTGCTGGCAAGCCTGGGGACAAGGCATCCCTTACCATCCCTTCTGGTTGGGTGTACCTGCAGAGAAATGCATTCTATTTTGCCAAATATAAAAAACTGAAAATGCTTTAAGTTTTACAAAGCTGCCTCTTGGGGCTTCAGGCAATGAAAAATACTGCTTGGTGCAGAGCAGGGAAGTTGCAGAGTGCCACTTGTGTGATGATGAAATGTCTGCCTTGGAAGTTAAAATTACTGTGAAGATGACCCAGCAATAGCCAACAAACCTGCAAATTTGTAGCAAACACAAAGCAGTGTTTTTTTCTTTTCTTTTCTTTTTTTTTTTTTTTTTTTTTTAATGATGGTGCTTTTTGCAATGTGATCCTTTGAAAGCTAAAAATATACCTAGTTTGCATAGATACTAGATAATTTCATAGAATATTGGTCAACTGATGGCTATTAAAAAAGAAGCTGATAGGTGGCCCTGATCTTAGGAAACCCATAAATCACTGGTTGCTGAAATTTCAGGAAATGAATCAGAAGCAAGCTCATGCTCTGTCACTCCATTAGTGATCCCCACAGGAATGGGGCACAGTGGTGACCTCACCCCAGAGCCAGTGCTGTGTGCCCCCTCCCGTGTCCAAGGGTGATTTGCAGGGTCAAGTGTGGATGTGAGAAGTTATTATTGTCTCATTTCTATTTCAGCTGGGAGCCTTGCAGTAGTAATCCAAGCTCTTTGTGCCCTAGGTGGCTCTGACTGTTCTCAGGCACCCCAAATGTGGTCCTAGGCCAGGGAAGGGAAGAGCAGCATCTCTCAGCAGTCTAGGTGGGCTCTACAGCTGAGCCACTGCTTCACGTGGAGTTGTGGCCGCTGGAAATTCAGGTGAGCACTCTGCTGTACAAATTGTCACTGCTCTCCAGTGTGAGTTACTCTGCACACGCGGAGTAATGTCTATAATTAAAATGCTCCCTTGAAGTAAATAATTAAATGAGGATTACAGTTATGAGCCACCAAGTGACACAGGTGACAGGCTTACTTTAAGTAGGACAATTAAACTGTAAATTAAAATTAAACCTCTCTGTGTAAGTAGAATATTGTGCTAGGTAATTATCTAAGAGTAATAAGTTAGGTGTGTATACTGTATCAATAAATCTTAAAGATCTTTAGGAAACAGATTTTCTACTTGGGTTTTTTTGTTATCTGTATTTTTTAAAATATTTCCTAATTTAAATGAGAAATAAAAGCCTAAAGTGCATTTTCAATGCTTTTTGGCAAAATTGGATAATTTTACTGGAACAGTTTGGTTTAAGTAGCATTTTTCCTTAACAAATTCCTGGCTTGTTGATGGGGTTTTTTTTGGTGGTTTTTTTTTTTTTTTTTCGGTTGGTTAGTTTGTTTTGTTTTTTAAACATAGTGCAGATATTGAGTCCTTTAGGAGTGCTTGCTGGAGAGGTGCCTCTACACTTGAGCAGAGCATGGCTAGAAAGAGAATGCATCATCACTGTTAGACAGTTACAGCTGCTCGCTGACAGGATGGGCAATAATTAGTTCTTGGTATTAGTACCTTGGTACATGCACAAAGATTATTGACTGCCAAATTACTGAATTCACTATATTTCATATTTTTGAAAAAGTTCCTGTGCCAGATAAAAGACAAGTTTTATTTTATTGTTTTAAAAGAACTAATTTATTCTCTAGGTACAAAGTGGTCTAGATCTTGACAGTCCCTAAAACACGGAGTTATGAGCTGTACAAAATGTTCTCTAGCTAGTACAAACATGTTTTGGCTCTTTTTTTTTTTTTAATTTTTTAGCAGACCAGTGTTGTAGAAAATACTAGTAGTAAACAAAATTTTGGAAAAAAAAACCCCCTGGTGTCCTAGTCCAAATTCAAAAACCTTTTATGAAAAAACTCCTGATTTTTGGGAAAAAGAAAATATTTTTCAAGAAAATAATGTTGGAAAAACACTGTAAATGAATACTTTAGGTGGAAGTAAAAAAAAAAGGGTTTTTAAATAAAAATAGTGAATTGAATTAAGAATACATTAGCTTTAGGCAAAGTAGATCTTTAAAAATCGATTTCAGGAGTCCTGGAGGCAATCTTAGAAGCTTTGAGCACTTTTACTACTAACTTCAGTGCCCCTTTTGGAGTCACAGATATTTTTGGCTTTGTCCAAGGGAGTAAGGCAGCACGTTGCAGGTGCAGCTGGGGCTACTCCAGGGTGTTCACGGCAGGACTGACAAATCCTCGCCCGTTTGATTGTCCCTCCTTACAGAATTAGTCTGACTCTGCTCCTGGAGTTATTTTGTGAGTCGGAATGTGCTGAGGTGCTGGCAGGTCACCCTGCTGCTGTCGGGCACAGCCTGGGGAGGGGGCTCTGCTGGGCTCTGCTGCTCTCGCTGAGCACAACTGCACCATCAGTGCGGTACCTCGTGCTTAGTTTATGATTTGCTACACGTGCACAGAGTGGGATTTTTATTAAAGGTTTTGTTAAAGTAAATAATCTGAAATTCTGATTTAGAAATCCTACTTAGACTCTGAATAGAGTGTCCCTATATCCTTTGCTGAGCTGTGCCACACTGCTGAAGTGTAGCATCCAAATGCCTCAAAATATTTTAATACTTTTCATTTTATATGAAGTAATTTTTTGCTCTAATTTTAAAACTCTGCTTCTAATGTTATGTTTTTAGCACTTTATTAGGAGAAACAAGAAGCTAATTTTGACATCTTTGTTGTTCTCAATTCAAAAAGAAAGGAACTGTTCTTTCTTTGATGTACAATCTTAAAGCTGGAACAATTTAAATAACTTTTTTAGATATTGTACTTTGTTTAGTAAAATATTTAGTACCATTATGATAGTGTAAACCATTAGACTGCAATTACACTAGCACAGCACAGAGCCTAATAGTTCTGTTGGAACACAGCAGTGATGCATGATTGCCCCATTAGGATCAGAAGTCTTGGAGAACTAAGGTTATTAAAAAAACAATCATGGTTAAAGTTGTGATTTTGTTCGATTGTAATAAAAATATCTTATTTATGCATCTAACTTCTACTGTGTTAACATCTTAACCAAGTATTTAAAAAACCTGCAAGAACTAGTAAGGATTCTTTGGATTATGATTATGAAGCTTTCTGTCTTATTGCAGCTGGAAATGCAGAACCTCATCTGTATTTCCCTAAAAGTGTTATTCAGGTAGGTGCACTGCATCTTTCCAGGACTTAAATGAGACTGTTTTTACAGATATTTGAGAGCAGTGTTTTAAAGATTGCAAAAAACTTTAATTCATGTTATTGTCTAAATATTCTTTTTCAAAAATGCCCAAATGTACAGCCAATGTATTTACATAATTTCAAAGTCAATTATAGATGAAAGGTAGGAGGAAGAGTTTTCTTTTTGCTACCTTGCTTAGCTTTGAAAACATTTAATAAAAGAGTTTATAGACAGTCAGGTTTTCTCAGCAACAGGGGAATAAGAAGCATTTTGAAAATTAAAAGGAGATTTTTCAAAATGAGATCAGGCATTGAAGAGCTGCATTAACACTGGGAGTAACATCTAACTAATAGAACTGATTTCATTTGAAATTGCTGGCATTCCTTTACATTTGGACATGTGGATGTCAGTAGCATATCTGAGACTGCAAAAAGACTGAGCTAGTCACCACTGAGATAACTGTTGGGTCTTTCACATTCAAAAGTAGTTCAAGTCAGTGGAAATAAACTTTAATCTTAGACTGATTAAATATTGTTTAACTTGCATTCTCTGAAATACGTGTAAAACATATAGAATATGGGAACTGTCTGCATTTGGAATGAAACCTGTGCTTAAGTTTGAGAATTATGGCTTAGATTAACAGTGAGTAGGAATTTAAAAATGTGTGAGCATAATTTAAAACACTGTATTAGTGAGAAAGGGGGTGCATTTTAATAGGGAATTAACAAATATGACTCAAGGATATAAGACGTTGCTTTAAAAAAATGATCCCATTTAAATAAGGCAGTGGAAAATAACACATTAAAATGTCTTTAAGGTTGTACATTCTTTGGATTTTGTCCATTAGCTTGACAGAAATATGTAAGAAGTTAATTTGTGTGAGCTGTGGTACAGAAGTGACCTAGACCTTGTTAAGGGTACTCTGGAATGGAGGGATCTCTGAAATAATGCAGAAATGTGCACAAACCCCAAACATTCAGGGTCATGTCACAGTCCCTGGGTTTGGACCAGCAGCTGGACACATCCACGAAACTCGTCCTCCATCCTGTGGGCTTGGGACTGTGCTGACTGCCATAGAAGACAGTCCTATGGCTGATAATCTGCTCCAGTAACTCCAGTTCCTTAACAGCTGCCAGGAAAAGAAAAGTAATTTGAAATTTGGCAGTACTGAAGGAAACTGCTTCAAAAAGCTGCAAGCCTCTTCCTCACCAAATTACCTTTAAAGAATCCCAGGCAGAATGCCTCAGCATGCACAACATAGACTTGTGATCTTTTCAGTGTATTTTAGAGGCAAGATCTTCCCTGTAATTTAGCATGCTTTCTAACAAGATTTACCTGCCATTGTGCAATTGTCTCTCATCTAGATAATGCGAGAGAACTGCTAAAATGAAGCATCAAAAGTGCTATATAAAGTACTTTGTTGTGTATTAGCAAAAGTGTATGTAAAAGAGTCCTGTATAGCCTTTTAGGGCAAATCTGGTTCCTTGCCTGTGCTCTGTAGAAGCAGTGATAGCTTTAAGTGGAGCTTGGAGTGAATCTGTACATTGGCAAGTGACTGTATCTATCTGTGCCTTGGCTTTGATAGCCTCCTCTGGCTGTTGTTCACAGTAGCTGCTTCTTGTTTTCTAATTTCTTCCCACGTTTTATTGTTTAAAATGAACCCTGGCTTTGAGTATGCAGCTTGATTTTGTTGTTGTTTTGTTTCGTGGCACTCTTGCAAGGATTTTTTTCACCTTATTTTCTAGAGGAAAGAGGTAAATATGGTGTCTCCAGGGCACTCAGTAACTGTTGTGTGCTGTTGCTGAATTTCAGCCCCATTTGATGGCATGAGATGTGTGGGGTCCTTCCCAGGCTGCGCACCACATATTTATCCACCTGTATCCTTGGGTACCCCCACGTGCCTTGCTGATGTCCTCTGCTGGCAGAGCTAATCTTAGTCTCTTTCTTGATTACATTTTTATGTAGTTTAATGTAGGATTTTTAAGTTATCTTTGTTTTTTTGTCAAATATTAGCTGTCAGAAGCACACATAGGTCTCATGAAACAGGTGCAGTTTTTCAACTGATTTAAATGAAGAAGGGAGAGACATTTGATAAACATTAATTGGAAGGCACTCCGAGTCAGGAGAGCAGACAAAATGGAAAAATGGATGAATTTGAAAGTGCCCAGCAAAGGGGGGTTTTGGGGGCCTTTTTTGTTCTTTGTTTGTTAGGTGATGTAAATTGTTGATTCTGTGGGACCCTTCATAAGGCTGTGCCCTCTGACTCATTAATGGATAGGAGCATTTGTTAACCAATTTTGTGGCCCCTCTCAGTCATTATCTTTTTCATCAGTCTTCTATTTTTGATTCCTTCTGTCTTCTATTATTTCAAAGAAGCAAAAATGATAACACAGGAAATAAACATGGAGATGTTTTTTGTCGAAGTTAACATAGGTTGCACAAAACTTACCTTGAAGCATTGGACATGAAGTGAATACAGGAGTCCAAGCCCATTTTAAATGCTGCCTTGGTTTTATGACAACTATATTACAATTTCCTAACCTATGGACCTGCCGTACAGGAAATATTTGTAGATAAAACTTCATGGATGGTGATAAAGTAAGGAAAATGTTCCTTTTTTCTATGATGATACTGAAATCTAAAACAAAAAAAATCGTCTACATGAAAAAACAGGAAAAATGGTATTTATACTAGCTGGTACATTTTTTTTTTTGCACATTATTCAGTGTGTTTTTTGTTTATTACTGACTGAAAGGGGAACTTTGACATTGGAAAGAAGAATTCACTATGTTCAGATAGCAAGAAGGCTATGGATTGCATCAGCCTCTCTCCTCCTTGTGACTTCTCTTCATTTGTGAGCTAAATCCTCTCGTATTCGTGTGTTCAGAGTTTTACGTGGAGCACTTGAACACAATGAGCCTGCTTGGGGGAGTGGGAGGAATGGCACACTTTGAACAAGTGTCCTTGAGGCAGAGAACAACAGCAAGGCACATTGCCATGCATCATCCTTTATTTATGCATATGGAGTGCAAGGTAACCCACACTGGGGTCTGCTGTGGGAGAAGACACAGTGGTGTCACGGAGCTCTGAAAGTTCAATGAAAGCACTGAAGGACGTGCAGCTTCTCTGTATCTGCTCTGCATAATGGCAGCTCTGGTTTGTACAGCCCTTGGACGCTTGGCTGTCCTGGGATTTAGTGAAGGACATGCAAAACCAGTGCATTTGCTGTGCATACTTCATGCTGATAGTCTGGAAATGGAGCAAGTCAGAGAGAAATGTAGCTTTTGGGATCATTAAAAATCCATTTTCATTAAAAGCCACGTATTGCAGTGACAGATTTATACATTCATCCCCTGTCTGCCTATGTCTTACAGATAGAGTGAAAAAAGAGGCTTTTCATAACAATTTTAAAGCCTAAATGAAAGAAAAGCATTCTATTTCCCTTGAATTGCTTACATGCTGCACTTGTTTGGCTTTTTTTCATGCTGTGTTGAATGGCAACTACTCTGCATTCTTTCTTCACCTCCAGTTCCTTTTGTTTCATCTATCTATCATTTGTTTTTATCTATGTCTTCCGCCTATCTATTTCCTCTTTGTGCTTAGAGTTGGTAGCAAATTATATTTGAGATGCAGGGAGCTTACAATCTGACTGTCTTGATATTATTTTATGAAACCATGACTACCGTAAAAATTGGCTTTACCGCCTGTTTTGTGTTATTGATTCAAGCCCATTTCAGAATTAACTTGTTTGGAATGATCTGGCAATGTTATGTGCCCTAGGTTCTCTCAGGAAAAATTCATCTCTCTTAACTAAATGCAATAAAATGTTCAAATATATCTAAACACAGTTATATTTTGAATTTAGATGAAAACCTTATGGAGTCAATCAAATATACAAGGCATGTGCAAGTTTTAGCTCCAGACTTACAAGTACTGTATTGCAGAAAAAAAGTACTTGGAGACCAGCTTTTTCCTAGAGAGCTGTCCCTTATGTAGGCTTTATGAAATTCCTAATTGCATCATTCATGTTTCAATCCTGAATTGGTTGGACATAATTTTGACATTTTGACTGTAGGACTGTATCTATAATTTGAGATTATTGCCTAAATTCTTTTAGGGATTTGATGTTTCAGACCTAGGTTTTACATTTGTCCTCGTGTTAGGTGGGAATATTTGTGTGCTGATAGTGGAAAATGATCTACAAAATTAAATCTTCCCTCATGAATGGCTTGACTGGTCAAATTTGAACTTTCTCTTACAGATGGAGAAAAATTGATGCTGGTATAAACAGGAAAATTTGGAATGTGAATTTATTGCAATGTTAAAATATTCAGGTATTAGAAATTGTTCAGTGACCTCAGATACTAGTCCTGCCTATCTTTAACTGATTCATAACACCAGTTAAAAAAATAAAAAGCTCATCTTCAATCAGAGTTTTCTTCCAGGTACACAAAAATGGGAAGTAAACTTCTAATGACCATTAAGTCATTTCAGCTTTTCTATTTCACTGCCATTAAGACTGCCTGGGTAAGAGCTGCACCTCGTGGGTTGCAGATTTCAGGTTTGCTGCTGTCCCTGGCTGCTGACAGAGGCCCAGGAGCTACTGGCACCCGTGCAGCCCTGCCCAGCCCCTGCCCAAGGTGTCCCCAAATACACTGTGCTCTGCGAGCAGACAGATTGGCTTTCTTTTGGCTGGTGGAAAAATCTGTATGCCAGCTGCCCTTTGAAATGTTTCAGTAGCCCTGGAACTGGGATACAAATTTTTCCTTTGATTCCCTTCATAGTTTTTTTACTTACCATCTTCTTGTCTTTCAGAGAACCAAGCCTTTTCTGAGTGTGTGTTTTAAATGTGTGGAGAGGAGAAAGCTACCCAGGTGAGTAAACAACAGATGCAAGTCAATCCTGAGAGGAGTGCAGTATGGATAAAGAACTATTATAATTCCTCCCACATTCGTGTTTCCATCTACTTATGAGATATATACGTGTGCCTTGTTAGCAATGATGTTATAATGCAAAAGCTAAAGTTTTCATATCAGAGGAAACATATATTGTTAAATGAGCTGAGAACATTCTCCCAAGGGTTAGCATTTCTCTAGTATGTGTGAAATCCTACTGAAACAAATGGCCCTATTATTTTAATTGGATCTTTTGGTATTAGAACATTTTTCTTTGTACTGTGGTAAAGAACCTTGTTTTTCTTTTTTTCCTGAAAATGGGAAATGAACAAATGCACTCGATGGATTTAAACATTTATGACTTCAGCAGTAGATTATATCAATATAAATAGGTGCAGATACACATATATGAATTAAATTAGTATTTTATTATGCATTCTTCCATTCCCTCTGAAAATCTAGAAACAGGCTTTGCACTTTTAAAATAAGTATGATTAAAATTTTCCCTTGTCCTTTTGATTGATACCTTGTTTGCAATGCTAATAATGACAGGGGCACTTAAAAAATCCAAACCAACCAAAAGCTACAAGACAAGTTACCATTTTTAAGCAAAATATAGTACAAATTTTTGAAAAGGGATTGTAAATTAATTACTGCTTGGAATCTGACACTCCTTAGAGTCATGAATAGATTCAGTTCTTGAGCTATTTTGCCTAATTTTCTTCTGTGAGTGAGGGATTATGCAATGCAATAGGTTAAACTTCTATAGACCACTCTAATTTGTTTTGCAGAAGAACAGAGAAGAAAGGGAGGAAGTCTGTTTATCATGTTGTGATCGAAAGCACAATACAGTAGAAATTTTCTGTGAAGATTAGGCTTGAAAACTAATTTGCTGTATGTTTGTTTCCTCTCTTTTCTGCAGCTGTTCAATTACAAACTTACTGCTGGTCAGAAAACCAAATATCTATTCTCTCGGGTAGCTACATTGTATTCCAATGTTTGAAGATTTGGTTTCTGTTATAATTGGACTGAAATATTGGTATTTTTTTTAGAGGAATTCTCCTATGCCTCCATCTGAATACTAGTTGAACATGCTCATGTATGTATACGCTGTGTTTAATATAGACGTAATATAAATGTGAAAACAAAATTAATTGCATGTATGGAAGCAAAAAAAAATCATGCAGAAAAGATCAAGGAATGATTTGTTAAGAGCAAAACAAAAAAGTCATAGCGTTAGTATTAATTAAATTTTCTTGTTTGCTTTTTACACATCTGTGCATATGTGCTTTAGAAGGACAAATAAGCTTTGAGGAGAAAACCACTTGTAGACTGACTAGTAGCCAAAATGCAGCTGAACTTCCCTCTTGCAAGTCGCCAAATGTTGCTGTAGATGCCCTCGGTGAGGGGAATCCTGCGGGGCCGTGCGTGGGTGAGGGCGCTGAGCTCGGCGCTGCCAGCTGCAGGGTGGGGTGCCTTGGGCAGCACCCCAGCCTCTCCCTGAGCTTGCAGAGAGGGGCTGGCTTCAGTTCTCCTCTCACACGTGTAACCAGAGACAGGCGGGTCACCTGTTTGTTACCTCAGAGAAGAAACTGCAGCTGCAGTGACAGGCGTGCACTTGTCTCATTTTGGTTGTTCTCCTGCAGTGGAAATGATGGATTTTGTTTTTCATCCCTTCACACAGAATGATCTGCTATTTCGAGCAAATTAATGCGATAACTTGCTACTTACAAAGTAGGTCAGGGCTGCTTGAGCGTAAATTGCAGGGGTTTTTGGGAGTTGGTGCTGCTGTCCCCGGCAGGCTGTGGCAGCTCCTGTCCCGGGGCACCTGAGCCTCCGCACGGCCCTCAGAGCAAACGGCGTCTGCTGCTGTTTCCATGGCAACACACCTGTCAGAAAATAAATATTTGCTCCGCTTCCACAATCCGTCATTATGCTAAGAATTAATTGATGGTAATGGTTTTCCCCCTCGTGCTTGAGAGCATTTCAGAGATAACCTAGTAGTGTGTACGGGAACCAAACAGCATCTGAGGCCATTGCAGCTGGCTGTGCCCTGCCATGGGTTTGGGCTGGGAGCAGGAGCTGATAAAACCTCTCTGGTTTTGGTTAAAAGGCAGGTCAGATCCTGTCCTGCTCTGGAGAGCAGCTGTGCTGATGGGTCTGGGAGCAGTGAGCAGTATGGCTGTGGGATGGGATGGGCAGGACAGAAAGGGGCTGTGGGATGGACACAGCTTCAGGTGGTCCTTTGCTGGCATCCTCTGCCCAGCATCCCTGTCTCTAGTGTCCTCCAAACTCTTCCTGCCCTCCCAGTGACCCATGTCAGTCCTTAGAAGTTAAATCCCAAGCATGGGGATGCACTGCGGTAGTCCTGTAACTATGAATACAGTACTCTTGGCTATATGTATGCAGTTTTAGGCCATTGTGAAGCAGATAATAATGGATAATTGTGTAAGATACTATTTCTTAATAGTACCTGCTCATTTCAGTCCTTAAGGCTATAAATTCTGACTTTTAAAAAATCAGTTACTTCCAGAACTTTTGCAATTCAACCAGTGTTACAAACATTTGGATTTATAAATATTTTTGGAATGTATTTATTTAGTTTGTGTAATAGAGGAAAATTTACTTGTAGGCTTCTTGCTACTGGTTTTTCGTGTGAATAAAGACTTGTAGAAGGCAGGCCATAAGTTCTGCCATGGCAGCATTAACAGCTGTGGGAACTGCTGTCACACAGCATATTATTAGCTCAGTTGTATTGTCTTGATCTGTTCTATTAGCAGGACACACTGATTTTGCCCAAAACCCAAAATGTGGTTTTCTTCTGCTCTGTTTGGATTGTGTTATGCTGTGCCCACCAGTATGACATCCGTGTGCCATAAACACCATGACTAGCAGCTGTTGTTTGTCATGATAAGTGAAACTGATGTATGTCACCTATGTAAACCAGGGACCAAGCAGAATTTACAGGACAGGAGATTTTGACAGAGCAGTTATTATTGCACCCCATCCAAAGCAGGGATTACTGAAGTTTTTTGAGTCCTTGTTTTAGACATGGTTCATTTTCAGCACTATGAAAATTTCTTGTCTGTTAATTCAGAGTGACACAGTGCAAGAGCAGCTCTAGAACAAAACTTCAAGCCTAGGGGACCAGGAATAGTTGAATTGACTCTTGCTGCTGCATAGGCAGTGGTATTTTGTCTTTAGTTTAAGGGAAGGAAAACAAGGAGAAAGAATTAGTGACAGTAGAAAATTAGGCTCATTTTAAAGAACTTGTGCTTTACACTCCATATGTGTTTACATTAAATAGGTGATTTATGTGAAGATCAAAGTAAAATGTTTCTTTCTCCCTTCCTCCTCTTTTTTTTTTTTAATAACTGGGAAGCATATTTAATGCTAAGGAGTAACTGAGGAGTTCTTACTGCAGGAAGCATGGAAACACTGTAGATCTTGTAAAAGACAGGAATTTGGCAGGAGAATAGCTCTCTGTCTTTGGTAATCCCACTGTACATACTGTGCAAACACTTTCTGAAGATGGTCTGAGGCATTCTTGTAATTTGATGTACACAATGAACTGAATGAACACCTACCAGCTGAAGAAGGTAAATGAAAAGGGCACAGATCTGTTTGATAATTATTAATTTGCTTAATGTCTGTTCTACCTTTAAATTTGTTCATGAAGAAATTTTCAATTACATTGGTATTGCTGCAAGGAGTAGGTTTAGAGCAGTATTTGAATTGATGACCTGCCTATCATGCATCTTTTGCTCGTTTTTGCATATCATGTTTTATATAGGCTGAGCTGTAACTCCTTTAACAGCTGTGCTTGATCTGGGAGGCCTTTTGGGATAAGGTTAGAACAAGCCTGAAGAGTGCTGTACAATTGGACTGATAGATCAATATGTTGATATCATGTAGCGAGATGACAGTGTTAATCTTGCTAGAACCCAAATGTGGCTTTTTTAACACCTAATGGCTCTATCAACTGAACAGAGGAGGTTTTCATTTAATAAATAGTGTGCCATTTGTATTGTTAGTCTAATCATTAGAGAAAAACAATGCCACATACCTAAGCTAGTAGTCATTGATGAATATTGACTTCAATATTGATGTAGTTGGAGGCTGGAGGGTTTTGTGGCCTTTTTTAATATTTGTGTTTAAATTTGACAAATTGTGAAGAAAGGAATGGTTGTATCTTTTGAAGATTTATGAGCATGAAGTCAAACATGAGTATCAATAAAGAGTGATGACTGCCAGATGGGCAACAGAATAGTGATAGGAGCTGAAGGGCTGTACAATTTACTTTGCAAAATGAAGTGGACATAAGGGGAGTAATGAATTCTTGTGATAAAGTGTTTGAGTTTTGAGACCACATTTGAAATCTGTCCTGTAAATATGCTCCTTCCAAAAAGTCTTTGAAAAATGGCTAATGTTATATTCCAAGACCAGTTACAGAAAGAACACTCTTCATTCTTTACATGTATCTGTGCTGGGGTTTTTTTGTTAATGTAAGATGACCTACAGAGGCAAATTTTGGAGACTAAAGGGAGCTTTGCTATTGCCTCAAAAGGGAGCAGGATGGATTTCTGAGCACAGCATTTCAACTAAGCTGAGCTGGTTGGGGTTCTCAATAAACTGCTGAGGCAAAATGGGACTTCTGCTCTTCCAGGCCTTCTCTGTGCCAAGGACTGACCCAGCAGCAACTTTCAATATTCATGGACGCAAAAAATTCTGCAAATGATAACATGCAACTGAGAGGCTGTGAGCCTTGAATGAGGCAATTCTGCAGCAGAGCACTGGTTTTTCAGGAATCCTCTCTGCTCCACCTGGGATGCCATGATCTGTCAAAGCACAGCAGCAGTCCAGGGAAGGTGGATTCACTTTTCTGTGGAAATAGATAAATGGTGCCCTTACTTGCTTTTTTTCTTAACAGGGCAAAGTGTTTAAGCTGTGTAGCCCAATTATTTTCCCTTACTGCAAGTACACACTGGAAAATTAATAGAGAGTAAAGTGGCAGCTCCCAAAGAAAGGTTAGAAGAAACAAAGGAAATCCTTAAAAGCAAACCATTACTGATAATGGTATTTGAAATATGCATTAGATTCACTTATAAATAAGTGTGTAAAGGAAAAACTGGGATTTCTTTTGGATCTACACTTTCTTTTGGTTTATTTTCCTTTAAGCATACAAAATAATAGGTAACTACTTTCAAATGGGAGCCTCTAAACAGTGGTAGATCAGAGATGCCCAAGTTTACTCCAGAACATGGAATTTCTGTTCACTTTTGCTGATTGAAATTTCTGAATGCAGGATTTTCAGTCTTCTACTTTAAATTTCCACTTAAAATCAAGCTCTCTGTGCAATAATCTTTTTATGCCCAGTATTTGTGCTTGGAAGCATTTCCTAACCTATCACAGATGTAGTTAAGACAATAATTTCAGTTTAATGAGCCAGAGATTCCCCCCCTCCCAAAGCAGAAGAGTAACATCATCAGGTTTATATTTTATGATATGCATATGACTTGTTTTTAAATTGAAAGTGCCTACTTACAAAAATCCTGTATCTTATTTAGCAGTGATTTTGTTCTATTGTACAGTGTCATTTTCCTCTTCCTTCTTTCTTTTGAACCCTTTCCCCCTCTTCTTTAATTTCTTTGTTCTACATCCTTTTAATATTTTGTACAGATTTCCCTCCTCTCTGACATTTTTATCATTTTGAGGCATAAAATAGGGCCTCTCTTCTCTGGCAGCTGTGACCCCATCCCCTGCTGCACCAAATTGACACTTCTGCAAGCAGCAGCTCTGCTCAGTCACTCCAAGGCTGCTGTTTCACAAGTGTTGATTTAGTGCAGCAGGGGATGATGTGCCAGCTGTAAAACTCAGACAATAATAGTAATAATGGTTGGGAAAAGTCTTATAATAAGAGAGAAAAATAAAAGGGTGTGGGCAGAAAAGGTAGGAAGGGTGCAGGTGGAGGGAGGAAGGGGAGCAGTGGTCCCTGTGGGGTGGCGGGGTACTGGGCTGTCCAAGGAGCAGTGGGATGGGCAGGAGAGTGGACCATGAGCTAATTCTCCTCCTCCCCACTCTCTCTCCTTACAAGAAACTCCTGTGACTGATGGTGAAGATGTTTTGTGTTTCTGTCAAACTGGGGAGTTATTTTGGGATAAAGTCCTAGTGGAAGTGGGTGAAGGACTTAAAATATGATGAGAGAGTGAGGAACAACTGTGCTGTAGAATCACTTACTATTTGCAAATGCAACTTTCTGGATGAAAAGATATTTGATATTTTTGTTCTTAAGGTGTATATTGCATGTCTATGGATATAGAGGATGGATGTTTTTTATATGTACAAATGGTGTGTTGTTATTTAAAGCACATAAATGGAGAGTTCCTTCTAAATCAGCCCTGATTTACCCTCAGTAATGTTCCTAAGGAAATAGTTTACAACTACTTTGTATGTGAGTGTTTAATAAGCTGTTGGCAAGACAAAAAATTATTGTAGGTTATATTTACTGACCACTTTATTTTCATTCTCAGCCATAACTCAACAATTATTTCCATGGCTCTGTTTGACTATTTTTCATTGATCTTGGAGCAGTGAATGAAGCACAGTATGTGCTAAATATTGATATTGGTAATGATATGCCAATGTGTGGTAAGACAGAACAGTTTCAGATGGACATGCAGAACAGGTCAGTGGAGACGTGAAGGTGTTAACATACATGTCTACCAAATAGTATTGTTTGCTTAAATCTGCTTACTCATAGCATTTCCCAGGTCTGTGTAGAGAGTGTGAAATTTTCCAAAGACTCTTGAGAAGCCTGTTTCTTTTAAGTTCAATTCAGACATGGGTTTGTGTTTCTTTAAATTAATGGGAAATAAGGACATACTTAAAACTAAGCATATATTTGAAGGCTGGTGGATTGAGGTTATGTTTGTCAGGTCTTGAGTAATACTTCCAATGTCTGGAAAACATCTCCTTTTTAGTATTTAGAGAGATGCTTTATAATAGGCTTCCACAGTGATCACCTTTGTAATCTTGTTGTTCATCATATTAATTGAAGAAGCTCTTTTCTGATAACCTTTGGCTGTTCAAGATATGTTCCTAAAGCATCAAAGCCTGACGAAACTTAGAAAAGACATAATAGATCATCCTGTCTGCTTTTTTGCCAGTGTAGAATTATTTCATTGAGAACATTTTTTAATGTTATGTCAACTTTAGTTTTTAAAATCCCAAGTGAAAGCTTCCATATCTCTCCTTGGGAGACTATTTCACAGGCTGATACATCTTGCTGTCAGGAAGACTATCCTGATACTCTGCTGAGCGTAAGCTTTTTCTTTCTATTATTTCTAGTTGTGTCCTTTTTACTTGATAGCTTTTACACAAGTTTAAATATTTATAGGTTTTTTTTCCCTTAAAAAAATTTCTTCAGTTTATCAATATCTTTTTGATTTTGAGAAGTCCACCTAAGACCTTCTAAACCGAGAACTACATTTACTTTCAAACCATTCAAGTCAGATGCTCACCACAACATTTTCTTAATGTTCTCTTTCTCAGGGTCCAAAGAACACAGGAGATTCCAACTATGAGAAATCTGATAAGCAGTCCATTTTCATCAGTGGTTTAAGTCCCTTTGCTTTTCTAATTGTCAATGCACAGCTCTTCTTGCAGTTGTGAGTGAGGATCCCCAACTGCTACTTGGTTCTAAATTTCTCACCTCTTTCTGCTCTGCTTCACAGAAAACCTGCATAATGCTTTGTCTTTGTACTTCTGCAGCTTGCACAAAATTCACTTCATTCTTGTTAGGTGAAACTGTTGAGGTCAGAACTCAGAATACCTCCCAGGAAACAGAAGGCAAGAGAAAGGAGGGTGATGCTGTCCTTAATTCGAAATCTGATTTGGAACTCCTGGGTAGAATTTTAGCTCCTTTTTCAGGAGAAATTGAAATATGTTATTGCAGGGAAATGCAGAGAACAAGTTGTCAGGGGGCTTACTTGTGTGGGCCAGTCCTGTGTTTGCATAGTTCAGGGTTGCAGGAAGGGATCCAGCCTGTGCCAGCTGAGGGCCCAGGCAAGCCAGTGTGTTACTGGCACTGAGAGACAGGCTCTGCTTCTCTGCACGTCCTTCTCTCTGCAAGGAAGTAGCTGCAGTCTCCTGCTGCATGCTGGTGGGTACTGGTGCTATACAGACCAAAAAACTGCAGGCAGTTGGAAAAAATCACTTTCTTTTTAATGCCATTTTTTTTTTGTTATTATCAGTTATGAGTGTTCTGGTTTGCAGGAAAGGGGAAGAAATTGAAATGGCTTTACACATCTTTTGGCTGTCATTTCTAGCTTGTTTTCTAAGGAATGGTGTTAGTCTGTCAAACTTCTCTAATTACTTTTGAACACAAGGAATGTTTATACGGCTGAGTTCAGTGGTGATAGAGATCCCATCCCACAGTGGCCTTGTGTGGTAACTTTGAAATCAATAGGGACGCTTTGGGGTGTCCTGGCTGACAAGCATGGTGTGAACCTCAGAGCATCATGACTGTGTAGCACTGGAGCAGCCTAGGAAGGTTTTGAGGAGACAATGTGGGGAAGGAGAGCATGGATGGAGAGTTTGATCACTTAGGAGTGAGTCACAAGGCAGAAAGAATTGGTTTTCTGCTCAGAGTACTTGAGCCTTTCCTGAGGAGTTTTCAGACTGTTAGAGACTCATTGCTTGTCTAATTGTTCTTCCAGAATCAATAGTTAAACTTGCATTGATTTCCGCTGACTTCTCATGCTTGGGATTCCAGCTGTACTGTGGAACTTGCGATCTCGGTGTTTCACAGAGGCTTACCTGCCACAGCTGTCTGACACTTCCTGAAATACTGAGGACAGCTTCCCTGAAAAGTGTGCAGGTTGGAAACAGCACTCCAGGTGCCTTTGCAGCCTTTGGAGGTGCTACCTGCCAGGCTGCTGTTTGTCCACCCATTTTACAGAGATAGCCTGTCCCTGGTGGGCTTATTCCCACATATTCCCAGGTCTGCATCTCAGAATGGCCACTTGCTGCTATCTCCTCCTTCTGACTATTCCAAGGAATTTTTACTGAAAATTTTTATTTTAGCTGAATTTTGACTAAGATGATTTTCCAAAGAAAATTTTCTATTTTATTCCTTTTTATGTGTCTGATGTCTAGGTGCTGCTATGTATATTTTCTTCTTTACTTGCAGTATTTTCTAAATTCACATCTTCTTCAGCTCTTGACAACAAGATCTACTGCCTAACACATGTTAGTGCCTATATTTCTATATTTAATTGCAAGAGATTACTCTCAAATGTATTTCTGAAACAGGTATGAAGAACAATGTTTGCTAGTAAGTTTCCCATAACTTCTCTTCATTGAGAAAAGAGTAAAAAAAGAGTAATGATATTGCACTTCTGCTGACTACTCTGCCTGACTGATTCACAGGGTATTTGCTCTTAACATGTTGTAGGAGTTAAAAAAAATGTGTCAAACTTTTTTTGGCACCCAGCTCCAGTAGATCCTGTTAGAAGAAACATATGGCCTCACACTAACAGTGTTAAAGCACTGCTGAAGTATTGCATGCACGACATTGACAAATTTCCTCTAGGCATTTTGTTTTCTGTGCTATTAAGCATTCAAAGTCCACTATTTCATTACCACTGATGATACAGAGAGCCTTATTGACATTCTATCCATCTGTTCATAACATGCATTATTAAATGTGAAGCAACTAGTAGGTAAGAGTGTACTTGCCAGCTGTACAATGAATTCTCAGTAGTTTGGTGCCCTCTATAAATTTTCTAGTATTCTGCCAGTTTCTCAGCATAATTTGCAATGGGAATATTTTTTAATGTTTTACATTGTACAGAGAAAAGTTGCTTCAAAAGAATATTTTTTTTTATCCCTAATGTGAAATATTTAGATATAGTTTCAAAAAGCCCAAGAGTCTTTTAATATACAAATACTGTTGCTAGTATCAGATCTCACTAACCACAGTTTCTGTGTTTTTCTTTTTTTGGTTTTTTTCCCTAGGAGCAAATCTGCTGCATTACCTATGAACAGGACAATGGGGACCCAATGAGTCACCCTATTCATATATTTTTGGAACCCAGAGGAATTGGTTTGACTATTTACAGATTATAACAGTTGGTAGTTGAATGTTTTATTTTCATTCCCAGTTGGTACAATATGTTCACAGCTGATGCTAATGGCTTGCCCATTTGATATCACATATGGTCCACTATTTGGGTCTCCTAAAGCTTTCTTTTGTGGTCAAGCTGCTTTCAAATTTGTGTATGTTTAGGTTTGTTCTGTCTGCTGGAAAGGTGAATATGAAACTCTGAAACTGGGCAGCTTTATAGTAACTCAGCAGTTCTGCTGATAAAGTTTCAAAGAATTTGAGACTAAATGTTCCATAAAGAATATTTTTATATAAAATGGAATAAAAACAAATGTCTTACAACATCAGGTGAAATTCTGAAAGAAATATCCTTTCCTCTTTCTTTGTATTTGATGCTGTGATTGAGTTACCCTCCAGTGTATGGATACCACTGAGCATCATCAGGATTGCTTTTTCTGGGTGTTCAGTTGTTTTGGAAACCAATTTATACATAATTTGTATTGCTTGAATCATGATTTCTATTTTTATTTGAATATTTCTGTTACGATAGTGTTTTGTGAAAAGATGTAAGGATGCAAATTAATTTTTCCTTTTGTTTCTAGAATAAGAGCATAGGAAAAGTGAAATAAAAGAATATGGGTACAGAAATTAAAATTGCAAGCCAGTCTGAAATTGTTCTCCTATGATACAAAGTGTTTATACTGACTCTGAAACATAACTGATAAAGCCACAATCTCATAAAAAGATTATTTCCAAAACCATTGCATTACCCTCTGAGAGCTAAAATTCTCATTTATTTGTAGGAGTAGATCATAATAGCTCAAATTCCCTGAGAAGTGGGCCTTGTGTGATAATTAAGCAGGGTAGTACATTAATTGTCCTCCACTTCACCTCTAGATGTTTAACTCCTTATCTAGTCAACCAGCAAACAATAATGCTCACTTATTTGTGCCTTATGGTTCAAATAATTTTTTTAGCCTAGGTAATTTATTTGAAATAAAGCAGAGTAAGCACATTGATGTGAAAGGGACATTGAAATTATGTCAGATTACCATTACTTAATACAATTAGGTGCTTGGATGCGGGTTTTATGGTTGTATTTTTTAGCCATGCAACTTTAGCTGAGTAAGAGCAATGCGATTTTTGCATGTAGGAATATTTCTCTAACTAATGGGACAGATTTAACAGTTTTTGCCACATGGTTTCTGCTTTCTGCTGGCCTTGCTCTCATTGATGCCTGTTAGGAGAGCAGGTACATGTGTATTGGAAGTGTCACCTGTGCCTGGGACATCTGGCTCCTGGTGCTGGATTAAATCAGGAATCTGGTGGTAGGACAGAGTCTCTGGCTTGTTCAGTTTTGGGGGAAATAGTGCATTTTCTGGTTTAGAGTCAGCCCCTGGAAGGAGATGGAAATGGAACTGAAGTAGGAGGCTCTTTCAAGTTAATCAAGTCAATATTCAACCTGGAGTACTAAGGAAAGAAAAACCCAACTAAACCCAATGTTTTTGCAAATGAAACTAATAGATGAGAAATAATATTCTGCCCTCTACTATAAGCAGTTTCAGGGACTTAGAAAATGACAGAAAACTTTAGCATGCTAAGAAGTTCACTTGAAATGTCTTTAAAAAAAGGACTAAGGGAATCAAATTATTAATGAGTGATCTCAGGAATGGACTGGGTGCCTGATGATGTAGTAAAAAGTATTTCTTAGACAGGACTTGGTCAAAATTTGGTGAAATTTTTGGTACTCTGTACCCAAGAGAGTTAAAGAAGTTAGTGATGTTGTCTCTCCCAACTTATTAGATAGAAATGGAAGATTGTGCAAGAAGAATTTGGATTTATTGGATGCAAAATTAAGTTATATTCAGGAAAGAATCTATTTCTCATAAGTAGCACCAAGGGTTAGGAAGTAGAAACAATATTGTTGAAAATTATTTTTGGGGTCTTATAACTAAATCCCAAGTCCAAAAGGCACCAGGAGCAGTAACTTGCTTGACTGTGGGTATTTGTCAAAACAAGAGTGTAGCAATGCAGAAGTGGTCATAGCCTGGGTATCCTGTGACACAGGATATCATACAGCACATTCCAAGGAGTCCATACCCATCAGGTTTGGGGTGGCTCAGCCTGCCCTGAGCACACTGTGCTGGCCTGGGCACGGTGCTGCAGCTCTGTCAGCAGCGCTGGTTCACAGCTGAGCATGGCAGAGAGCAGGGACTGCAGAGACAGCCCTGCTGTTCACTGTGTGCTTTGTGCCCTCTCTAACACCCTGCCACCATCTCCAGAGGCTGTCACAGCATGTCCCTGTGTGCTGGACATCGTGTCCTTCCCTCTGCTGTGTTGACTCTGGCCTCACTGTGGCCTCAGGCATTTGCCGCAGGACTCATGTAAAGATGGGTTTTGCAGTGCATCATCCATGCCAAGGGGATTCTGTTGGAAAGAAGTGTTACACTGATTCTAATCTCTGACTAAAAAGATAATTTCTGATTGGTACATGGAGAATTATGTACATCCTGGGGGATTCTTAAAATTTGTTAATAATTTATTATAGTTATTATTATTATTGTCATCATTATCATAGTTATTGTTATTATATCATCCAAAATGTGTGAGTGCTCTGGCAGAAGCCTCTGTTCGCGCTGGCCCGTGCAGCTGGGCTGAGTGGCAGTGTTGGGCACTGCCCTGCCCTCGGGGGCTGCTGCCCAGCACACACTGACAGCCTGTGCTGCTGTGCCTCCTCAGCTGGAGGCTGGCACCCACCCCAGGCCAATGGTGAAGCTGTAGTCAGACCCTTCAAAGAGCCACCAGAATACACACCTCACTCTCTGCCCAACAAATTCTTTTCTTCCCAAAGCAATGAGATCTTTGTAGCTCTCCACTAAATATACTTTCTTCTTGTTTTGACAGAGGAAGAGCCTGAGGCTGGAGCTTGCCGAGAACACCATGTGGAAATGGTTTGCTCAGCTGCCATTGCTCAGCAGGGAAAGTGAGGGATGGGATGGACTTGATGAAGGCAGCTTCATCTTGAAAAACAGTTGATTAGAAAAATACCATCAAATTGTAATTTATCAGCTCTAGATATGTTTTAGGGAGTCCTCTCTCATGAATGGGATTAAATTACATATAGTGTTAACCCAGAGTCTTCTGCAACAATGTAAATGAGTTGTTAACATGGTACTTCATTGCAATAATAACTCAAAGCTACTAGCAGGCTTGATGGGTCTGCAATAAATGTTTTATTATTTAGGAAAAATATACTCTACAAGTTGCAGTGTGCCATGCTCATTCATGCTGTAAATCAACAAAGATCAGCAGACTGAATAGGGGAAATGAAAAGCTTATTTAGGAACTGACACAAGCTTTCAGATGAGCAGGAATGGCTGAAGTTAACTGCATTCATTTTTCTTTACTTGTCACAGTTGCCACTTGAATTTCACTGCTAAAGATTGTGGGTAGTTTTGCTTTATGAAATTATATCTATGAAAACAATATTTGCATTTATATAGACTTAGTTATAATAAAGTTAAACCTAGCACACCCCTTTGCCTCCACAAACAAACAAATCAACCAGCCAACCAAAAACCTCTATGTTAAAATAATATTTATCTGTCACTTTTTCTGGATCTGAACAGGATTCAGCTAAATGGCTCCCACTGGCTGCTTTAAAGACCCAAAGCCTGTGACCATGTGAAATGTAGGAATGCACAGTTTTGGCCATCCCTTCAACCTCAGCTCCCCTGTAAGGCTGCCTCTCTCCTCACCAGGGTAAACCAAGGGTTTTCTTTAAAATGATCTTGATGTGGGATGAGTTAAAGCACAGAGTGGTGACAGGGGCCAGAGACTAGGAATTAATATGGTCCTCCTCGTATGGTTATAAAGTGCCTGAGATCAGCTCCATTGCCATCCTTTCATGTTCCCTAGCACCTGAAGACCCTTTCTTGAATTTTGCAGAAAATGCAGATCCTGAATGCTGAGCACTGGCTTTCCTGAAAACAGTACATGTTTGAACATGGAGTAAAACCCCTTGCAAACTCTCTACTTACTCTATTTAATTGATATCCTTAGAGAGATGTGACTTCTTTGGCTGATCCAGAGGAAAGAGAAACCAGGACAAGAAGGCAAGTGAGTTAAGATAACTCATCCCGTGCCTCTGTTTAGGCTTGAAAAGGACAAGGTTTTTTAAGACAGCTTTGGAAATTATTCCCCTACCCCTACTTATGCCCCAGAAAGAATGAAGAGAACATGAAAATACTTGTTAAAGGATTTGCGTGATGATGCCACACCCCTGGCCATAGGTCTCCAAAGGGAAGAGCTGCTTTTTATTGGGCAATTAAGCTGGACCTGCCCAATGAGGATGGCAGCAGGGATTGAGCATATGATGAGAATACTTCAGGATCAGCCTGGTATGGTTATGCACAAGGCTCTGACTGCAGTACTATCCTGAGAAAGCAGCTGATGGATGGAGGCAGCAGTAAGAAAAAGGCCAGTTAGTAGGGTTCTGTTTAGGTTTGTGCCTGATGGTGTGTGTGTACTCAAATGTGTGTTTATATGAACATGAATGCTTATGGGTGTACCTCTATATAGAAATGAAGCACTTTTTGTTTCTCTGTAGTTATCTGCATATTTGTTCTGGTTTGTCAGGTGCTTGTGTCTGCCACTGAATGGATGCTTTCCTTGGTTGTGGAGTTACTTACTCAGCTACAAGACTCACTGCCTATCTCAAATACCCATTCTCAGTAGGTCGGTTTGCATGACTTAAACTTAGTATGATTTTGTTGTGGTGCCCAGTGTGCCTACAGGAGAGGAGCCTAATCTTGTAGCCAGCAAAGCAGGCTCTGTACTGCTCAGACTAGAGCTTGGAAATGATGCAAATACAACAGTTTTGCTTCAGGGGTTGTTCCACTGACTTGGTCTTGAGCCTGTTGGGTTGAACTGATGGTGTCTCTGGTGTTACCATCCCATAGCTAGAAGCAGCCTCCTTGAGGCAGGTGCTCTGCGCTGCTGTGAGTGGTGGTGAGTTGGGCGTGTTCCTCCGGCCCCTGGGACTGCAGGTGAGGCCCTGCTGCTGCTGGGGTGCTGCTGGCTCCTGTGCCTGGACAAAGATGAGGCTTGGGCTTTGCATCTTGCTGAGGAGGCTTCAGGACTCTAACCCTGAATTTCTCACTTTGAGTTTTAAAAATATACTTGCAAGAAAATACTTCTTGCATGATGTGCAAGAAACCCTTAGTAGTGGTGTGTTACCCTCCCCTATTTATTTTGAAATTGAACCATGAAATTGAAATTGCTTTGCCCCTTTGAAAATAATAAGTGGTTTGTTTGTGAGAATAGTATATGCAAAAAAAAATTAATTTGGAGTCCTGTCTTAGACTTTCTTCAGATAGTTATCTGAAGCTTTTGTCATCATAATCACTTTAAAAAAGGCAAATATAAGCCAAAGACTCCAAAGAAGTCACTGAGATAATGCACTGTGAAAGGTTTTCAGTTTGCTTCACTGAGAAAAGTTTTGCTTCTTGAGCCAGCCATTTATATGCTTAGGAAAAGTCCAATTAAGATGACTGAATTGTAAGTGTCATAAAATAGAGAAGGCAGGGGACATTTAATTATAGCTGTGCTGCCAGGCACCAATAGAACAAAAGAAAAAATGTTCACCTAAAGCACAAAGTACTGCCTAATACATTTGCTGTAATAAAGGGACAATATATGGTCTAAACACATCTTCCAAATAGTTCAAAAAGCTGCACCTTCTGATTTCCATGAAGCTGTTCTTGCGATTATCAACATAGTTTAAGAAAAAGAAATATCTTTTTAATATTGAGACCTTCAACTTTGGTCACAGGTTGAAAAGGAAGCGTCATGCATTAAGACAAAAATGTTGCCTGAGAAAATGGATTTGTGACCCAGAAGAATGTATAATTGATGTGTGTGGTTGTCTGAATGGTAGAATAACAATAGTAACCATTAGAGATGAGAGCTGGAACTAGTCAGGCAGTGAGGCAGGATGTATTTTATAGGTCATCTGGGCTCCATTCAGATCTACAGGTTGCTATTCCTTCTCCATACTTGAAAGCATTTAATAGATTATTACAAAAGGAAAAGGATGGTATGCAATAATGGTTTAAATTGAAGCTCTGTATATATATCACCACTGTGTGACTTCTAAATGGATGCTTCATTTTTAAAATTCTCCCATGACCTACTTGAAAGTTTGCCAGAGCATCAACGAATTAAAACAATGAATTGACCAGCAGCAAGAGTAAAAGATCCTGAATAGTACAGTAGAAACAGTTGTTCTCTTCTGTGGCAGACACAATAAGGAATAAGAAGTCCCCAAGAAAATTTGTTCCAAAGTTGTCTGTTCTGTTCAAGACAGATGAACTGGTTTTCTTCTTTTGTTTCATAATGCTAAAATAAGAAAAAAGGACAGAATTTTGGAAAGAGGTTTAACTGTCAAACAATCAAAGCCAAAAGCACGTAATAGTGAAGTCAAATTCAGATTCCCTTCTTGCCTGGAAAATGCTTCTTTCATATCGAAATTGATACAAGTTAAAGGGTGGAGAATCTTTTGTGCTTTGTTTCACATGAACATAAAAGTTTTATTCCTGCTTTTAATGGGTAGTATTTTACAAATGTAATGGAACATAATTTTACCAGGTTTCCCTAAGGAAAAGTCGTGGCATGATTACATAGGCAGTCCCATCTCATTTAGTATAATGCTTACAATATAGATGCAAATATACTTATGTAACTCAAGTTAGAGGTAGATTGAATAGCATTCAGATAATCATAGAGCAGTGCAGATGCTGAAAAAAGTTTTGCAGGAGAAATATGCATTGAATTACTGGTCCCTTGCAGCCACATTTGCCCCCAAGTAGTGTTTTCCTGCGAGGCAGAAGATTCAAGCTGTGCCAGACAGAAGTACCTGGCATGTGTACAATTTGCCACTTGAGGATGGACATATTAGCTTGTCCCTGTTGGTAGCACACCCCAGTGAGCAGTGACAGTGGTAGATCAAGGGCATGGGGACCCTGGTGGCTTGCAGTGTTCCCAGCAGCAGGGACAGCCTGGCAAGGGAGCCATCCTCTCCTGGGCAGAGCTCTGGCACGGTCCCTCAGGGTCATGGGCTGCAGGGTGGCACACAGGGGCTCCATGGGCATGCGAGGAGGGTTAGGCCACCTCAGGTAGAAGCACAGAGCAACAGAGCAGGGAGTGTAAGGATGACAGTGTGCTCTCCAAACTCCTTGCACAAAGAATTTTTCAGCTAGAGATTAAATAAATCTTTTCCGTTGTGAATAATAATGATTTAATGTAGTCCATGCTGTAATTCTCAGACTTCTGCTATAGAAATCAATTAAAATCTGTGTTATAAGATAGTATAAAGGGTCTTATATTTATGGGAGTTGTAGGGGTCCTCTTTCTGCCTGGCTTGTGCATTGATGAAACAGATCTATAAGAAAAGTGATGTCTTTCTTATAGGGGATGATTTAACAAATTTAAAAGATTTTACTAGGACATGTGAGATGGAAATATTCTCTATTTCATGAAAAACAGATAGTCTTTCACCTATTTTTTTTTTATTGCCAGACTCTCTTCTCAGATCTCTTTTTTAATCTGATGTAGATCACCACAGAATAGAGAAACTGTTCCAAGTTTTCATCTAAGTGGTATAACAGCTTAGTGTACATAAACCTAGTCTTGATGCTGGTTATTTGGAGATGCACAGCAGAGACAAATGTAACCTGCCTGGAGTCAAAGCAAAAGAGTTTTCTAGAGCTCTTCTGCAGGATCACTGGCAGCAGAGCTGCTGCTTCTGCACCAGGTGTGTGGAGGTGTTGCTGTAGCTGGCATATGGATTGCAGGTGTGAGACCAGCAGTGCCTCTGGCAGCTGCTGCCTCTTTGGGTAGGCAGATTCCTTCTCATTCTTTCTGGGGAAGGTCAAGAATTAACAAAGATATTAAAAAAACGAAGCTCAACATCTCACTGTGTTAGATTTCTTTTAAACTTTCCCTCTATCAATGTTAATATCTCAGATCCAAAGGTGATAGTAATAGATAGATTAGCACAAAATATATGTTGCAGGTATATGCTGTGGAGAAAACTGAATAAAGACCATATTTGGAGAATTAGTTGCCTTTTTCGATGTATTTTAGTTAGAGCTCTCTGTTCCCTAGCACATTTGGAGCCAAACTATCTTTTAGTAATCAAGAGGAATCTTTGTTTAATGTGGTTTTGCTTTATTTTCTTCGAATTTTTTATTTGCCACAACTCAATTACCAGCCAATACTCAAAAATGTGAATTGCATCAATTTCTTTTTAGTCAAGTGTAAAATTTATCATTCAGATAAACTAACATCAAAGTCAGGATCAGACTGTGGAAGTGTTTGCTCTTCCTTGCTCATTAGTTAGCATTTCATCTGTGAGTGTGGGATGGATAAATTTCAGTGTGTATCTAATTTAACCTCTAAAAATGTATCTTTTTGTCATGATTTAACTGCAGACAGCAGGTAAACACCACTTAGTACCTACTGAGATGTGGAGGGAAATCTGGAAAAAGGTAAACCTTATGGGTTGAGATGAGAAAAGCTTAATAATTTAAATAAATTTAAAAAAATAGTAATAATAGGAAAAAGAGAGGGGTCTAAAGAAACACGAGTGATGCACAATAGAACTGTTCAGTTCACCACCGTGTGACTGATGCCCAGCCCATCCCCAGGCAGTGATCAGCAACTCTTGGCCAACTCCCCTCAGTTTATTTACTGACCATGACATTTCATGGTGGGAATGTCCCTCTGGCCAGCTGGGGTCAGCTGTGCTCTCTCCCAGCCTCTTGTGCACCTGTTTGCTGGCAGAGTGGCAGAGCATGGGAAACTGAGAAAGCCTTCATTTACAGTAAGCACTGTAGCAACAACTAAAACATCCGTGTGCCACCAGCAGTGTTCTCATACTAAATCCAGAACACTGCACTGTACGTGCTTGGAAGAAAATTAACTCTCTCCCAGCTGGAATCAGGGCACCTCAGGTGAGTGAGGTGGGTACTCCAGTGCTGTGCCAGCCCAGCTCAGGAGGACAAAAATTCCTTCCATCCCAAATTTGTCCCGTGAGAATGCCTTGTCTGTCTTTTCATCTTTGATAAGACATTTCCAGATGGACTGTAATACTGAAATCAAGTTTTGCTTCTTTGTTTGCTTTTCAAGATTAGCAACAGCTTAGGATGAGCACTTCAGTTGGTGATCCTGTCAGGTGTCTCAGGTTCCACGCCTGCTGTTGGCATTTTCCTCTGCATTATAAAAGGGTGCTGTTTGTAAACAACTTTAGCTGTTTTATATAGGACATTTGTAAACCAAGTCAAGTATTAATGTGGTTTAACGTCAGCAGAAATTCAGTAAAGGAGCCTTTTGGTTAGCTAAGGCTTGTTCCATTCATAGGAAAATTCAGATAAATTAAGGATATATGTGAAGCAAGTGCACCAAGCCTACAGTGCTTTAAGCTCCTCTGTGGATGATCTAATTCAAAAGGAAAATGGCTGTAGTTCATGGTAGCTTAATCCTCTTTACAGTAAAGTCAGACTACTTTACCTCTCAGTGAGAATATCCACAGTGGGATTTAATGCATTTTGACTTACATGCATTATCATCATGGGTTTAGTTGGTTTATCTTAACTTCCCTGGATGTTCTTTTGTAGAAAAACTACAGACATAGATATCTAGTGCTAGCTTATTTAAAGTATAGTCATGTAGTCATGTCCTTAATCTGATATGGGTTTTAGTGTAACCATGTTAAGTGATAAGTGGGAACTGCTTTGTTAAGGGATTCATATACATTCTCATGCCAAAGGATAACAAAGGTAGTTCTTCATTTGTGACTGGGCTACCCAGAAATAATCCAAAAGCCTCAGTGTAAGTGGTTGACATCTGTTTGCATGCTGGGCACTGCAATGCCAGTGACTCCTCAGACATAATTACAAATTCTGGAATTTAAAGCTGAGGCTCAACAAAATAATTCACGTGATTATTTTATCTCAGTCCATCCTCTGTTTTGCAGGCCAAAGATAAAAGGATTCGATACTTTGGAGGAACTTTGCTTCACGTGGTTGTAAAATCAGCAGAGGTGCTGGAAACACCTCTCATTTTGTGTGGAGAGGTTCAGTCCTATACCTGATGGGGAGGAGAAAGCATTGACTAGACATTTTTCCAGTCCTTGAAGCAGTTTTCTTTGAGAGAATGACATTTTTCATGCCAGACAGTTGGCATCAGCTGTCAAGTTGGGTGAACTGGACAAGACAGAGATGGAGACATGCAATGCTATATGGTGTCATCAGAACTAAAGATTATGAAATTCTTCTGCACAGATTTCACCCCTGAAGTGAACAGAACACACCAGGGATTTCCCATGGCGATGAGAGTCCCTGTTCCAGTTCAACTGATTCAACTGGCCATGTTGCCTTTTATCCAGGTTCCTGTTTTCATCACATGGCAGGAGATGCAGAAAGCACTAGGAAAACTACACCGCCAGAGGGGTAAGGAATTCTTTGCAGATTTTAAAACCCTTTTTCTTCTGCAGACTTGTTTGAGCAGTTTACTTTATAGTGACTTTGGCTTGAAGCTGAGGGCACTAACAAAGTTGTTATATAAAAGCATTATTAGTATTTGAGGATTTAAGCCTCTGTTTCAGGAGTTCAAGTTTGCTGTGTCTTATGTTATTTTTTATTTTAGCAGTGTTTGTGTACCATGCTTTTGTGACTTAATGCATAACAACTCAAGTCAGTTAAAAGTCTATGGCATTAGTGAAACTGTGAACCACATAAAAGACTAAATTGCTTTTTCTCTTTCTGTAATTGCCACTACAATAAAAGCTGGCTTTCCTGTAAAACTTTTCAGAGTTAACCCCTGCAGAGCTCCCAGGCTGAGGAGGCAGAAGTGTGATTAGGGGTGTGTAGAAGGGGGAGAACACCTGACTAACAGTAATTAGGGGTGCTCGAGGGCTGTAGGCAGCAGAGCGCAGAACTTGCAAACACACACCCCAGGTCCCAGATGAATTGCAGTGTAATGGGAAAGGGTCAACTGGGATCCCTCAGGACAGCAGCTTTGGCAACCGTGCCCTGCTTGCATCCTTTCCAATAGCCCCGCTGAACATGCCAAGGAAGGATGGGAAGGACATGGGGTGGATAGACAGTTATGACTGCAAACAAGGAGGAAAAAGGGAATATTTTTTTGGTATATTACTTATGGCCATTGTTTTGAACAATATTATAAATATTGGGGAATGGGTGGGTGGGTAGGTCAGTCCCCTTACATGTGTGTGTGGGCAGAAGTTTCAGCCAGCAGAGTAATGGAAGGATTTGATAAATGTGCAGTATTTCCTGTAGGATAGATTTGCCTCCATATCAATCTTAAATATAAATGAATCATCTTTTACAGAAACACCAGCAATGTGTGCTTAACTGTAATAATAAAGAAATATAATAATTCACTGCATACCAAATGTGGGTAATGTAACACATTGCAAAAGTTAAAAAGAGCACCCACCAGAGCTATGCATGCATTGAATTAGTTTTAAAAATCTAGTTTTGTTTTTAGAATGTAAAAAAAATGCTATATCATTATCATCTAAGGGACTGTCTTCACTAGGGCGATTTGAACATACTTCTTTGTGGTATTCACTTTGTCAAATAATGCAAATACTACCACTGATGATGAATGCTTGCCCTGCTTTTGGGTTCCTGTATGATTTGTCCTGTTTATTGTTTATTTTTTTCCTTTTCTTCCTATTAGAACAGAACAATAATTTTGCCAGCATGAAAAATAGAAGATTTTTAAAATGTCTTAAATATAATTTTGTCTAGATGAAGGTTTGAAATGAGTAATGTTCTGTTTTTAAAAAGGTTGCTAATTATCTAAATTTCACTGTGGTTTAATTAGCAGCATCCACAGTAGAACGTGGGAGGTGGTGCTTATCACCTGCCAGGGAAAATGTTGCCTTCTGAGGAGGGTAAGTTATGTCAACCAAAATACAGCCTGATTTTAGATCTCTGATACCATTCCCTTTGAAATCTTGGTGGGCAAGGGTGACTGAGCCTTAAGTGATTGGGAGAGTGGAGAACAGAGGTATTAGTGCCACAACTGTCTCTGGGCAGGTCTGGGAGCCCCCAGTATCCTGGGTGCTTGCTATGGAAGGAGACAGCTCTCACTGAGCATTACAGCCAGCAGCTCCTCACAGTCTGAGCAGAAATTAAACTACGTGCCAGTGTGTTTCTGGTAAACCGTACTCTGTCTCCATGTTATGCCTTCTTTGTTGTCCTTGTTAGCTGTTTTAATAAGTGCAGCCTGTAATTCTCTTTGAATGTATCTGATAGGTAAAGGAGCTGGTACAGGGAGAGGTCATTTGTTATGGACAGCTCTGCCCATAGCAGCTACAAGCATGGAAATGATGGAATTGCCTTAATGAGGTGGCAGTTCTGAGCTGGAAGTCACTAAGGTCAGCAGAAAGGTGGCATTTAATGTCCACCAGATCAAACAAAACAAGGTTGGATCCTTACCTTAGGTTAGACTTGGTAAAGTTTCTGTAATCTGATATAATAATTTTATTGCCTGCTCTCTGAGTTTCTAAGCATTTTTGTTCTTCCTCCAGAGAATGTTGTGGTATTATTGTGGTATCCACAATAATTTTTAATTCATTAGGGAAAGGAGAAGAGCTAATTTGCAGGTCATAGGTAAATTATTTCTAATTGAGTCAATCCATGAAAGCTAAGCCAAGAAGAAAACAAAAAAAGGCTTTCTGTTAGTTAGCTTGATATTTTTGTTATAAGCACACAGTTCCAATCTGTGTAGTGGTACTGTTTTGTCTTTCTGTAGTCCAGTTTATTTTTCCATGCAATGGACACACTCACGTAGGTACCAGTATTGTAGTAGGCTTCAGTCAGTGCACCAGGTACGTCCATGAAAATGGTGTGAGATTCATTGAGCCCTGTACACCAAAACAAAATCCTTCAGGCATTCAAGAAGGTGTAGAAACACCATTATCAGAGGCTGAACATTGTTTTTCAGAAAAACCGTCTTTTATGAGGTTGTGATTTTCTGATATTTACAAAACAAGCTGAAGAGGAAACCTGCAAACAAAAAGTCCCCATTCTAGGAAATACTGAAAAGCAGGGACCATGTAATTTTGTAATTTTGATTCCCTTTCTGTTAGCTTTTCACTTTTCACTTGTGTCTAGCTATCTCTGTTTCTCTCATTGCTGTCCCACGGGAGTGAGTGACTCTGGCATGGCTCCCTGTGCTGTGTCCATTTGCTGCTCCAGAGGTGCTAATTGTCCTTTCCTCTCATAATGTCTAATTGATCATATAATAACTTCAACCCAGACCACAGCTCTCCAACATGCTTTTGCTGCAGATTGAAACCTCTGTTTCAGACCTAAAGAATGGCTGCTTTGCTTGTGTATTTTACCCCCAACTCTAATAGTCGGTCTCATAAAAATATTACTTCTCTCCATAAACCTTGACTGTCTAGCCTGCATTTTGGTTCCTTGGGGGCAGCAAGCAGGAAAACAACCTCTTAAAGCCTGGAGTTTCCTTATAGCAAAAAATTGTAGCTATTGAATTATAGTTTTAAACATTAAACTACTTCCTTGACCCCATTCCACTGATTTTGAACATGCATTGGTGTTAAGAATGAAACAGAAGGATTGCCAAGGCTTTCCAGCCTGATGCTGGTCTGAGTGATCCAGAAGTCCCATCGGGGAAGTTCTTGAACACTTTGGCCATATTTTTAGTGGGCTGTGAGGAACAGAAAAGTCCTGTTCAGATATGGGGACCCCAACTCCAGCTGGGGCAGGAGTCCCACTGTGACATTGCCAGCAGTGTCCCAGAGGCCAAAAGGCATACAGGGTGGATGGGGACAATCTGTGCAGAGCTGGTGCCCAGCCCTTACCCTGCTGATGTGTCACCTGCAGGGAGATGGGAGCAGAGAGGAGTAGAGCAGGGCCATGTCCATGGCCGTCCCCAAGATCATCAGTTATGAGAATTGTGGCTTTGCCTTTATAGACATGTTTTTGCATTTGGATGTAGTGTGGGGCACAGACCACCCCTGCCTTTCTATTCATGGGCATGATTTGCTTGTGGGAAGTTGACTGTGGTATCCTTTGCACAGCTCTGAGCCTTTGGGTGGAAATATCTGGAGGAGTGGGTTTCCCCTTACTCTTCTCTAGGCTATTCTAGCTAGTCAGCCTTGCCAGGTGAAAAATCCCTAAGATGTTTCTTAAACCAGACAATAAAATATGATGCAGCAAACTAAGAGTGGGTCTGAGCCCATGCTAGGGCAACCTTCTGGGTCATTCAGAGCAGTCAGACTTTAACCTACTGAAACTGGTAGCTTGGAATGAGCTCAATCCATCCATATTTTTTTGAAAGTGACTTTATCAATTGGTTGCCTTTAACTTCTGACAAGAGACATTGATGTAAGAGATTGGTAAAGTTTATGACTCATGAAGGTATTTGCTTCACTTACTTGTAATTTCTAGTGCAAATGTGTAGTTCGCTTGTACTCAACTGAGAAAGAAATGGCAGTGTACAAAGTAAGTAGAGCAGATTAATTAAATTGGCTGTTCTTGTTAACCCTTTCTGCTACTATAAAAGCTAGAAAAATTTTCTAAGATTAAAAGGTGACAAGATAATGAATTGTGATTTCTCATTGCTGTAATACGTTATGGGATAGTCTGAATTGATACTTAATTCAAAACATAATTAAACATTTATATAAATAATGGTTCATTATATTAAGAAGCATTAAAACGTGGTTATAAACACTGTTTAAGTAACTGGCCAGCCACATGACATTGTTTTGACTGTTACTCTTCATTAGACAGTTTTCTTGGTGAGTTTTCTAGCAGTATGGTTGGAGTGTAGTGGTGTCTGATAGGAGCTGGTGAGCAGAGAGCCCCAAGCCATGCAGCACAGTCCCCACCTGCCTGTGCAAGAGGCAATCCTGACACCCAGCTCTGCTCATGCTGCTTCATATCTACCCATATTAGTGGCTGTTGTGTAAAATTACCAAGTATGTTCCTAATTCCCCAAATTTGCTCATTCTCACTTTTCACAGAAATGCTTCTTGTCACTAAAAGCTGATGAGGAAGGATGATTTAAGGCACTGGGGAAACCTTGTCCTCATTCCTAGCTGCATTGTGAATGCTTGGCTTTCAGCTCATGCTGGTCCCACTGAACAGCAGGGTGAAACACAGGTATGGAGGGACTGAACTTCACACATATTGATACTGGGGAAATGGACCAAAGTGTAAAATAAATGTCATTGGTACAAGATGACTTCCTTGCTTTGAGCTGGGAGGTTTTGCTATCTCAGCCCATTGCTATGGAGCCCTGAGCTATTTGGTGTTTGAGGGTTTCCTCTGGGCTACAAGTTATCTATGGGTCAGTACTAAAAGTTAGTGTTTTCTAGGCTTTTTTCTCATTCCAGGATCTGCACAGCAGCTCCCTGCCCCAGTTCCTGCACTGCTGAGGCCATAGGGGTTGAGCAGTGCTGGGTCTGGGTGCAGCTGGCAGGGAGGCACAGCCCCAGCCTGGCTGGGCTGGGATGCAGAGCCTTGCATCAGGTGTGCTCTGGTTTTACTGGACTGCTGCAGTTTCCATTGCTGCACTGAGCCAGCCTGCGCTCATCGCTGAGCCTGCCACCCTGCCCCTGCCCGCCCAGGGGCTGTAACGAGGCCCTGGTTCCCTCATTGCTTTGCTGATGGCTTTGCCTCCTTGCACAGTATGTTAGGAAGAAGTGTAGGATGTGTTGGAAAGCTCAGAAATCAGGGTTTTTTAAAATACAACTGTTCTGCTATTGCCCAGGTAATGGCCAATGTAGTGCAGAAGCACAGGCAAGTGCTTCTGGGGCATAAAGACTTTTTCTTGTCTGCTTGGGGTCTGGCTTGACAGTGTGAAGCACAGGAAGGCTCTGCAGTGAGGAAAAATCTTATCATGACAGAGGGCCCAGGAGGGAAGCCCTGCTGTGGGGTCAGAGCGGTGTGAGAGCTGTGCCTGGCAGATGGCGGTCACCGGTAGGGACGGCCACAGAGCCAGGGGACCATCAGGTGTGGAGCTGGAATGGCAACTGCAATCACTACATCACCGCACCAGCCAGGGAAAGCCAGTGTTGGAGTGGCCATGGGCAGACAGCAGGGCTGAGACAAAGGGAGGAGCGAGAGGCGCTGAGCGGGAGGCAGCAGCAGAGAGCAGCATGGAGCCGCGCTGCCGGGCCCTGGGCCTGATGCAGGGCCAGCCCTGCTTGGCAAGGCAATTCCAGCGTGGCTGGTCTGTGTGGGGAGCTCTGCTGAATACACGGGCACGTTTTGTCCCTTGGCAGTGTTAGTGGGGACCCTCGGTTGGCTTGGCTCGTGCAAGGTGGCATCCCAGCCCAAACACTGCACCATGCACTCACCATGCCAGCGAGGGCAGCCACGGCTGCCTTACCCCTCTGAGGGCTGCCTGCTCTTAGGTGGTCGCACTGCTGATCTGCTTTGCTGGGTTTTAACCTAACAGAAGGAAAGCCTTCAAATGCTGCTAAAAGGAATAAAATTATAGTTGTGCTTTAGGGAGCAAAAATGATCTCTTTTGGCTGTTGTGCTGTTATTGCAAATTGTGTGTGTGTGATTTATCCTAATTAAAAAAAATATGACAGACATAAGCCACAGAAATGTCTGTAAATGACACAATCTGGTCCTGTCTTTGTTTATCACTATCATAATGCATTGCTGGCCTCCTAAAATTATTAGCCTTTGTGACTTGCTAATAGCCACGGACCCTTGTGAAATGGAATGGTGTGGAATAGTAAAGGAGAATGTGAGCTTTTCAGTGTGGGATCAACATTTCACTTGGTTATGCTAGATCCTGCTTTATTGCTTTTAAAAAAGTATTTATTTTCTGTCTGTTTGTTTAGTGGGCAGAATTTTTCAAGCTTGTAGTTTAAATACAGAAATCTGGAGGGGGAGGGTTCAGAATTTTTCCTTTATTGGAGCAAATTAAATGGTTCTCCATTACATAAGACTGCTCTATCAAATTAATACCAGTCATTTCCCCCTGTGTGTTGAGTGAGTTTTCAGATCAAACCAGACCTCTGAAGGCATATACACTGCTGCATTAAAGGAAGATGCTGTGATGTTCTGTATCAAAAAGGTTAAACTCATCAGATTCTATGTAAACACTCATTTTACCCCAGCTAACCTGTAAAGATTTCATTTTGCTTCATTTATCTTCTCCCTTACCCTATGCTAAACCATTCCCAGCTTCGAGGAAAGAATCATGTCTCCATTCATTTCCTATCTTGCTGAATTGCCTTCGCATTTCCTATCATCTGCACATAATCCTATTCTCTCCATTATTGTCTTAATACCAAGTACAGCACAAGATAATGGATAGGCACTGTAATAACAGTGTGGCCTGTAGGAGCCCCTCGAGGGAAATATCTTTGACGCTGGTAGAATATTAATGCATCCCAGGTCCCTGATCTTCCTCTTTCACTTCATCTCCTGTTTTCTAAACTACATAATGACTTTCATATACATGACAAAAGCATTAGAACAGAAAAAGACTCATTGATGAGCAGCAGGGCTGTGTGATATTAAGAAGCACTATTCTCAGTTCTTTGTGCAGTTTTTGACCACCATCAGAGACAGTGTGTGCAGGTAATTTCTGATTTGAATAGATACAGGCATAAAGAAGCATTATTGTACTCTGTTAATCCAAATGCCCATCACAGGCACTGCGTGAAAATAAATTAAAATGTAATTCTTCAATAATGCATCTGTCTACAGGATGATTTTCAGCAGATTAAAAACAAACAACTTGATATCACTTAGGCTATGGATTGTTTCTGAGAAGCTTAATCATCAGCAGATTATGAATGGAACAGTAAATCAAAGCAGGGTATGTTAAACAATGTAGATTGTGTTGTAGTGGCAATTTACTGTACATAATTTTTTAATAAAAGGGAAAAATTGATTTTTGTGAGCGTAAACATTGAATCCTATGAGAATTTAGGTGCGGTTATTGGAAAGGGGAATGTAAAAAATGCTATTCTTGTCATGTAGGAGCAATAACCTTTCATTCCTCCTACAAAAAAACAGAAGTTTGCTCCCTTTAGGGCTGCCTTTAAGCATCACTACTTTTCTCATTTTTCCTTCCTTTTGTGACATGCTCTGTATTTTGGTATAATATTTTGCAAATATGATATGTATTTCTGATTCACACTTCACCCCACCCATGGGGTGTGCACCCTGGTGAAGTGGGGGAAACCCCTAAACTTTTCTTATGCCCGGAAGGAGCTCTCCAATTTCACACTGTGAATTTGCTTTTGCTTTTAAATGGAGATCTGCCAGCAGACATCCCTTGCTGCTTGTCTTCAAGGTCTGGCTATCACTGCTCCTAGTGTTGGATTTCAGGTGAAACATCAGGCTGGGGGCTCTGCAGCAGCCCTATCTTCCCCTGCCTGCTGCCAGTTGCTGTAGGAGCAGAGCAGTTCCTGACCATCAATCATTGCAGATAATATCTGAGGAGAAAGGGAGAAATTATTTCAAATCAAGGGAACTGAGTTAGGAGCAGGAGCCAAGCAGCAGTCTGGTACTGGCAGCATGCTGGAGAGGAGAAACACTGAAGTCTGGAAGAATCAAGGATGAGAGCTAGTCCTGATGGAATGTCGTCTTGAGATTAAAAAAAAATTGCAAAAGTACTTGAAAATTAGTTATATATTAGATGAAAGATTAGGAAAATTTGCACAAAATGCAGATACCCTGTGCTTTAAGAAGGTGGCTGTTTTCCCTTCTTAACTGTTAAGTAAATGCTAAGAAGCATCTTCTAACTTCAGTGCTCAATCCTGACCCAGCTTTGCAAGGGGCTCTGGGGAGTCCAAGGAAATGTCAGGGTGAGTGACTGAAGCCATACTAAAAGAAATCTCTCCCAAGAGTAAAAGAGGAGACAGCCTGTCTATTCCTGGGCCTACTGTTGTTTTATGCCCTAATTTTATTTTCAGCTAATTCATTTGATTGATTTCACTGCTTTTAATGTTATTTCTTCTGTTTTGAACTCATGTGCACTGTGAAATAGTCTAATATTGAAAGATGCTGCTTCTGCATTTTAAACTGTGCTCAGCAGGGTGGAAAAATGCACATGGATCTTAAAGACATTGTACTGTATATCAGAAACCTGAAGATGTCCTTTTGGAACGTGGTAAAAACTACATTATCGAGCTCTGTTACTATCATTAAAAATGCAATGCCTTTTCTTTCACATGTTTACTTGCCAAGAGAAAAAATGACATCCTGCATGACACTGGTAGTGTGGTATCCCAGTTTATGAGACTGTAAACAAGAAGAGGTGAGAAAGAACTCGGTTTCTGTTAGTACTCACTTAAAAATTGTTATCATCTAAATGTAAGTCCAAAACCAAAATATTAGGTTGTTTCCTTTTGTCTTGAAAATTAGTCTGGTGAATGACTTTTGTTACTCTTGTTGTTGTCCTAAAATGAGGAAAGTAATTTAGGATCATACTGTAAAAACAGTACCTCTCAAAGTATTTTGCAGCCTTGTTGCCAGCATTTGGGGGACCAGAATTTGGGGCACCCTTGTACAACCACTCTCTGGAGGCTTTGAATAGGTCCTTGTTAGCCTGATAAACCAAAGTCTGTTTTATGTGCAGAGACCCTTTATAGCTTTCCTTGTATTTATTGACTTCACTGTCTCTGTCACACCTTTGTGATGTTTAGTGTAATATAGTAAAGTAGAAGTTATTACTTACATCATGAATACAGACAAGTCAATGACCCCTAGCAAAGGCTGGAGACCTGGTGTTTTTGGTTTTGCATAGACTTAGATCAGGAGACAAGCAGGCTTGCATTTTCAGGGACACACAAAAAAAAAAAAAACAAAAGAAGCCTGAGAAAAAATAATGGCTTGTTGGTTTTGATTTTGGTTTGGCTTCTTTTATCCCCTCAGTCTTGGAAACCCAAGGACATCATGGTCTCAGGCTGTAAGAGCTGTAAAGAGCTGGATCTTGTACCTTGGATTGACTTTGTAAGTGAAGAAAGACTTTGATGGTTCTGATTATTCTGTATGAAGGATAAAAATTGATGTATTTGTTTTCAGCCTTGGTTGTAGGTGAAACCAGGACAGGCAGGACAGGAGGCTGCAACAGCCAAGAATTTGTCTGGGTTATGAGAGCTGTTTCAGAATGAGTAAATGGGTCTTCC